TCCAACACGGCCGAGCCCCGCAGCCGCCGGCCGGGGATCAGGGACGTCCCGGTCACCCCCACCCCGCGGACGAGCAGAGCCCCCGCCCCGCCGCACCCGGGACCCCCCCCTCTCCGGGACAGCCCCGCGCCCTCCCCGGCGTTGGTGCCGCAGGGACCGGCCCCTGCCCGCCGCCCTCCCGCAAGTACCTGGGCGGGTAACGCCGCCGCTGCCGGTGTCCGGCGCTGACCGGGTCCCGGGCGAGCAGGAAGCCGGCGGCGAGGGAGCCGGCGCCCACCATTGCCAGGAGGCCGGCGGAGCGGCGGGCGGACAGCGCGCGAGCGAAGGTGCCGGCCATCGCGGAGCGGCGCGGCAGGGAGCAGGACGTGATGGGAATGGGAACGGGAGCTGGAATGGGAACGGCGGCAGCGGGAGGGTGCGCGGAGGCGGAGAACGGCCGGGCACGGGGGGGCGCGAGGCGCTGCCACCTGCTTGCCGCGGGCCCCGCCCCGCCCCTCCCCGGGGCCGCCGCCGCCTTCAGCACCGCGAGACGGACAGCGCCGGGGGGCGGCCGCGCACCGGGCCCCGGACACCCGCGCGCCCCGGGTCGGGCTCGGCGCGGCACAGAGCGGCCGGCGGCGGCGGAGGGGAGGCCGAGGAAAGTCCGCGCACTTGAAGCCGGACGCGGGTCCCTGCCGGCCTGGAGCCACGCGTGGGATGCAGCCCGGGATGTGTCGCGGGGCCGGCGGACCGTTCCTGGAGGCCCGGTCTGGCGCGGGCGGCGGTCACCGGCACCCCCGCCCCACCGCGCTCTGTGCCGCTGCCCGGTGCCGGGCGCCCCTTCCTCGGGCCCCACAGGCCGGGCTAGGGCGGGCGGCCCCGCGGCACCGGAGGGTTCAGAGCTGCGGGGCAGGGAGCGCTGCGGACCCGCGGTACGGGATCGGCAGCGGGGGCGGCGCGCGCGGCGCGGTTGCCGTGGTAACGAGGGACCCGGCGCTGGGCCCGCGCCCCACGTGCGCGCGTCACGCCCGGCCGCGCAGCGCTCGCCGCCGCCGCCAGGGGCCGCCACGCCACGCCCGGTCGGTGGCCGGCCGGCCACGCCCTCCTGCCTGCCCATTGGCTGGATTCGGCCGTCAGCAGGTCCTGATTGGCCGGCGGCAGCGCCGGCGGCGCAGGGTGCGCTCGGAGGCCGCAGGTGAGCGGAGGGAAATGGCGGCGCCCGGCGTCGCGCCCCCTGCGGGGTGCTGGGGCGTCCTCGGGGCGCCGGGCCCGGGGAGGGAAACGGGGATGGGGGTCCGGGCGCAGCGCTGCTGGGGCCGGCTCGTCGGTGACTGTCGGGGGGTGCAGGGTAAGTGGCAGCCGTGTCTCCCGCAGCCCTGTCTCCCGCAGCCCCAGTCTGTCGGCCCGGCCCGGCCGGGCCCGGCCGCGGCTGTCGGGCCCAGCGTCCGCCGTCTCTGCCCGGGAGGGCCCGTGGGGCGGCGGGCGGGGCGGTGGCTGAGCGGGCCCGGCAGCGCCTTCCGGGCGGTGTCGCGGGGAACGGGCGGCCTCCGGGTTGGCGTTACCGTGACCGTGACCGTGTCAGTGCCGCCCGGCTGAGGGAGCGGCCCTGGGGGAGCAGCCGCTGCCTCGGCCTCCCTCTCCCTGAGCGGGCCGGTCGAGGCTGTGTCTGCATCGCACTCGGTGCGAGGGAAGGGCCGGGAGGCAGGGGCGGATGAGCCTTCGTTATGTGTCAGGTACCTTGTGGTCCTGTGAAGTTTCACACTTAACGATCTCATTAAAAAACCTCATTAGAAACGACCTCATAAGACAAGAAGCGCCGCAGGTGCTGTGAGCAGCGCAGCGCTCGCTCCGGCGCAGAAGCGATAAGGCAGGAGGCTGCTCTTTGCTTGCAGGGTATTGTGTAGCAGAGCAGATCCTGGCCAGGCAGCCACAATGCTTCCACCATCGCGGGCTGGCCCTGGAGATGGCCACGGACTGGGAGTTCCCAGAAGTGCTGCTCGAATGGGCAGAGCTCATGTTTAGAAGCTGGACTTCAGCTTCCTGGTTGTGAACATGCTGAACCTCTGTTAACAGAACAGAGGGAGCTTGCTTTCACACAGCACCTCCAAAGAGCTTTTAATTATTAACTCTGGAATAGGTGTTCTTTTTCTTCTGAAGCAATTAAGTGTCTATGATAAGAGTACAGCTTTCACCTTTTGTAAGTAAGTATGTAATTGCCCTTAGTACAAACAGCCCTTGTGGCAGTAGGAGTCACTTTGGGCAAAGGTGCTTCACTCACCAGCTTTTCAGGTTGGTTGTTATCTGCAGGTGGTACCTGTACTCCTGGGGCCTCCCTCCCACTGCTCCCTGGGGGGCCTCTGCTCCTGGACCTGTCTCTTGTCCCGCCGGTGGCTGCCAGCCAGGTGGTGAACCTCATTCAGCTACTGCAGTCCTCGTCCTCCAGCCCCCTCTGCGGGGACTGCACCTTGAAATCAGGCGTTTAAAAAACAAATGAAACAAAAGGCACTGCCCAAGCCCACTCTTTTTAGTGGGCAGTGCCACGCTGAGTACAGAGTTCATACGAGACCTGGTCATGTTGCCTTCTCTCTGACATTTCTGGTACCTCAGAAGTGGGGCACAGAGAACAAGTCTCCCTGTTCCGTGAACATCCTCATCTGGACAGTGCCAGAATGAACTGGTGGGGAACCAGAAAACAGGTCACTAAACTTAGCTTGTTATCACTAATACAGGGTGGTCTAGGGAGCTGCATTAGTCCCAGGACACAGAGAGGCAAGGTCTGTGTCTCAGTTCCAAGTTGTGGGTCAGCAGCTTTTGGCTGCTATAGGTGGTTATAGGAGCCTTCAGTATGATTGTGCAGGAGATCATAGCTGCCCTTCTGAGAAGGGAGTGCAAGAATGTCTTTAACTGCAGCCACTGGTGTGTACTTCCTTGTGTAGCTATGATGGGACCAGCAAGCCTGAATATTCCATCTTTACCTTTCTGTGTGTGTGTGAGAGCTGTGTAAATGCTTTTGTCTCTCTTGGACTACACAGCCAGCATTATTAACACTTAATTTGCTTGCTGTGATTAGTGAAAGGTAAGGCCTGTAGCACTCTCTGCAAGTAGGCACTGGACTGGATGTATGACCTCTAGGAGCAGTTAGCTCAGGAAGCAGTGAGGATGATGCAGAGCTGTCAGCATCACAAACTGTCATTGCTTCTCATAGCTCTAGGTTTGAAGAAAGGAGGTAATGGTGGTGGTGGTGTGGGCTGAGCACCCTGCAGGAACTCACTGCTGCCGTTTCTGTTGGACTCTCTTGGCACCCAGCACTAGAGCTGAATCAAGCGTGGGGACAGCACCTCATGTTACTGGCCATTGGTAATGGCCAAAAGCTTTGGAGCTCAGGATAGAGCTCCATTTGCCTGCTTCCCTTTAACAGGAACAGGCTATCTGAATTTTACCTGCCTTAGTTATGACTGTAGATAAAAACTCTGTTTCATCAAGAGCCTGTGGTCTCTCTGGCAATGAATCTAGTCAGATAAGGGATCTACTTTAAAAGGCTTTCATTATGCCCTCTACCTTTCCTTACACCAGAGGCTACCTAAGCTCATGAGGCTTTCACTGTTAACACCAGGGGCACGCCTGATGCATCAGTGGCTCTTGGCTTCAGCAAGACTCCAGGTTTTTGCCTGGTTCAAGTGTGGTGTGTCATGGCCTCTAGAAATAGCTACAGATAAGGCAGAGGGTTTTTTTCTGTGCTAGGAGCAGGGATGTAGAGAACTCAACGATTTCTCAGGGCAAAGGTTTTCCTGCTGCTTGATCTGTTTTTTTTTTCAGGAGGACCATATGGGATTGGAGAAAACAACCCTCCTCCTCTCCTTGCATGGTTTACTTCATTAAATCATCAGCCATTGAGCTGCTAAGGGCTCATTCTGCACTGGCAGCAGGGCACAGGAGTGGAAATGGTTCCTGAGCATGTCGGGCATCCTGTTCGTGTCCTCATGTGAAAGCAGAGCTGTGTGGCGCACACATCAGGTGCCTGTATGGCCTGGCAGGCCAGAGCTGCTGCTCCTGCCAGCAGAGTACTGGTGGTGAATTACAGCTTTCTCTGCATGCTGGAGCCCGAGGCCTGTGCAGGAGCAGGTGGCACTGGGTACCCGTGTGGGCTAGAGCCAGGCAGACCCGGGCGTCCGCGCCTGGGTGCAACGTCCAGGCTCGCTCTGTCGCCTCTGGTTCCTGTTGGGTTGGTGTCAGCTCCTCCAGTAGATGCAGTGTGATAACCAGCGCCTGGCAGTGCGGCTGTGGGACTTTGGGGGTGCTTCTGCTCCAGCTCTTTCTCCGAGTGCTTACCTGTTGCATTTGCCCGTCTGGGGAGCGTGCACAGCCTTTCTGTGTGCAGGCATGCTTGCTTCTGTCCCTTATTTACAAGGTGATTTCACAAGCAGCTGGATTGCTCTGTGTGTTTCTCCTGCCCACATCCCACCCATGTTCCTGGCGAGGGGATTCTTGCCTACCACAAACCCGTGCCGCTGGCAGGCGGTGGCTCTGCTCGGGGGAGAGGAGCTGCCAGAGCACTGGGAGCTCACAACTGTACATGGCAGTGCAGCCTCCTGCGGTGTGCTGGCAGCAAAGGGAACCATGCTCAACAGGGGAGGAAGCTCAGGGACTTGGTCTGGGGGGTGCTGGAAGGCATCTGGGGGGTGCTGGAAGGCATGTGAGAGCATGAGAAGCAGTGATAGTGTCTCATGCCCATTTTTTGGAAGTACATAATAACATGAGGTGTTCACAATGCCCTCTTCTCAAGGTTGCACTTGCATGGGAGGAATGCTTTTGGCCACTTTCCAGCTGGGGAAAACACAGTAAAGGGGAACAGTGTGACATTATGTGTGTGCAGCTATGGTCAGAGGTGAGCAGCTGTGTCCTTGGTGTGTGCAGGGCATGCGTATGGTGTATTCAAACCCGGCTGCTGTGGTGGCAGGCAGTGCTGCTGCTGTAGGTGACGGTGCAAGGACACAGTGCAAGACCAGTGCAAGACACTGGTGTTTATAAAGCAGAGCTTGTACCCCGATAATCAGCTTCTGTGGTCATAGAGTAAATTGGAGCCAGCTTGCAAACTCAGGAGCCCTGACCTGCAGCCCAGACTGTTGCTGATGCTTCCTCTTGTGTCCTCTTTCCCTCCTCCCTGCAGACTCATGCTCCTTTCAAACGGATCTTTCTGTTACTGTAGGTCTTCTTGAGCTGAAAGGATGAAAGTTGGCAATTGGGAAGTCACCGTCACCGCCCTAAGCCTTGTCCTAACTTGTGGAGTCCCAGTTGATGTCTTTGGGTGTACGAGCCTGTGAGAGTGTCCACTGTCCCCTTCCATGATTTAGACAGTGGCTTGGAGCATGCATAATTGTAAGTCTCACATGATTTCAGCGCTGGTGGTGACACTGTCCCTTTCCCAGTCAGTGTAAAGGGGTTAACTGCACAGTGGAGCTGCCCATCTAAAACGATCCTGAATGCTGATCCCCTCCCACCCTGAGGGTCTCTTCCTGCTCCTCCCCTTTGTGCTGGGCAACACATCCCTGGGCTGACTCAAGCCAGATGAGTCCCTGCCCTCCCCACCATCACCGCTTCCAGTAGCACGGCTGGCCCTGGCTCACCCTGCCTCTGACCTTCTCTCTTCCTTTCTGCATGCTGGGATTCCAGAGCGGAATGGTCGGCCACCGGAGCTGCAATGTCGTCCCTGACGACCTCCAGTGAGGGAGAGAACTCCACTCCCAGGTTTGTTGTCGGTTCCAGGGATGATGAGACGGACTTTCTGGGACCAAACATGAAGACAGACGAAACAGATTTCTTTGAAGATGAGGAAGAGGAGGAGTCGGTAAGGAGGTGCCGGCATTCTGGGCTGGAGCGTCTGTGCACGATTCCTGGGTCTCAGCCAGGGTTTGTGTGGTTGCTGCTGAGGCTGCGGGCAGTTGGGACTCCCGGGGACGTGGCACAGGCTGTGTGGCATCGCTGTGCTGCCGTGCTCACTCCTCATGCTGCAGCAATCCCAGCCTTTTTGCTTGCAGGTCTTTTTCAGGTGCAACAGCAGATTTCTTTGTCCTAGCAGCGTAACCTTGGTGCTCCCATAAACCTTCCTGTTTCACCAGGGAAATTTCTGAGACAAATTCTGGGAATTGTGAAAAGGGCAGAGCTGTGTCTGCAGAAAGGAAACATTCATTCTTTTCTGTAATCTCTAGGAACAGGATGCAGAAAGGAGAATGATCTCCATCTCTTGACTGCTCTTGGCCCCTATTTAGCATCATGTTAAATGTAACATTTGGTGCTCTGTATGAGGCCTACATGCAGCAGGAATGTTGCTGCTGTCTGTATGAATTAACTGGGACCATACACCAGTGCAGCATCATCTCCATTGCCTTTGTACCCAGAGTCTCCGTTGCAAGTGGGTTGTTCAAACCCATGCAGTGTTGTGTACCTTCATACTGAGCGGAGCTATTTATCAGGTGTGGTGAAGGACTGGAAACTCTTTCATTTCCCAGATGTTTTTGCTGTGGAGTCTTGACTTTGCAGGTCAGTGCATTAACTTCCAGTGTCTCAGCTTATGGTTTGAAGCCATGGTTTTGTGATGGGTAACCCGCAGTCATAGAATCATAGAATAGTTAGGGTTGGAAAGGTCCTTAAGATCATCTAGTTCCAACCCCTCTGCCATGGGCAGAGACACCTCACACTAAACCATGCCACCCAAGGCTCTGTCTAACCTGGCCTTGAACAAAGCCAGGGATGGAGCATTCACAACTTCCCTGGACAACCCATTCCAATATCTTACCACCCTTACAGCAAAGAACTTCCTCCTTATATCCAGTCTAAACTTTTCCTGTTTTAAGTTTTAACCCGTTACCCCTTGTCCTGTCACTACAGCCCCTAATGAACAGCCCAGCTCCAGCATCCCTATAGGCCCCCTTCAGATACTGGAAGGCTGCTCTGAGGTCTCCATGCAGCCTTCTCTTCTCCAGGCTGAGCAGCCCCAACTTTCTCAGCCTGTCTTCATACAGGAGGTGCTCCAGTCCCTGATCATCCTCGTGGCCTCCTCTGGACTTGTTCCAACAGTTCCATGGTCTTTTTATGTTGAGGACACCAGAACTGCACACAATACTGCAAGTGAGGTGTCAGGAGAGCAGAGTAGAGGGGCAGGATCACCTCCTTCGACCTGCTGGTCACACTCCTTTTGATGCAGCCCAGGATACGGTTGCTTTCTGGGCTGCGAGCGCACACTGAAGCCGGCTCATGTTCATTTTCTCATCAGTACAACACCCCCAAGTCCTTCTCCTTGGGCTGCTCTGAATCTCTGCCCAACCTGTAGCTGTGCCTGGGATTGCTCTGACCCAGGTGTAGGACCTTGCACTTGGCATGGTTAAACTTCATGAGGTTGGCATCAGCCCACCTCACAAGCGTGTCGAGGTCCCTCTGGATGGCATTCCTTCCCTCCAGGGTATCAACCGAACCACACAGCACGGTGCCATCGGCAAACTTGCTGAGGGCGCACTCAATCCCACTGTCCATGGCAGCGATGAAGATGTTGAACAAGACCGGTCCCAACACCGATCCCCGAGGGACACCACTCGTTATTGGTTTCCAGACGGACATTGCGCCATTGACCACAACTCTTTATGTGCGGCCATCCAGCCAGTTCTTTATCCACCGAGTGGTCCGTCCATCAAATTGATGTCTCTCCAATTTAGAGACAAGGATGTCACGCGTTCTATGTTTGTTCTGCATTTCTACATTGTTATAGTTTAAATTCAATTTATTGAATTTAGTACTTAGTATGAAAAGTTTAGTCCCTTAGTACTAAACTGACCTCTGTCTTCCTTTAGCCACCTGAACGGCAGATTGTGGTTGGAATCTGTGCCATGACCAAAAAGTCCAAGTCAAAGCCCATGACGCAGATTCTGGAGCGTCTGTGCAAGTTTGAGTATATCACAGTGGTGATCATGGGGGAAGATGTTATCCTGAATGAACCGGTGGAAAACTGGCCCTCTTGTGACTGCCTCATATCCTTCCACTCCAAAGGTAAAAAGTCTGTGGCAGGCTTTAGCATACTTGAGATCTGAGCAAGGGACCTTCCACTCATTTTCCACTCCCTGCCTTTGTCTTTCAGGATTCCCCCTGGATAAAGCAGTTGCTTATGCCAAGCTGTGCAAGCCGTTTTTGATTAATGACCTTGACATGCAGTATTACATCCAGGACAGGTAGGTGTGTGTGATCTATTAAAGCACTTTCCCTCTTCCTTTGTGTGACTCTTCTCCTCAGCGTGCTCTGCAAACTTCGTCTTCCTGGCCACAAGCAAATGAGTGAGATGGGGAGGAAGGGGACCTTTCTCGGTCTTGGGGATTTTTTGTGTTCATTTGACTTTGTTCTTCATCTGTGGGAGTGAAGCCTTGGCACTTACTGAGGACATTCTAGACTCTTGTGATACCGTTTCTGTCCTCTACAGGCGTGAAGTGTATCGGATCCTTCAAGAAGAGGGAATAGACTTGCCCCGCTATGCTGTGCTCAATCGAGATCCTGATAGGCCAGAAGGTCAGTGTCCAGGCTCTGCCAAAAGCCATTGTCGCGTACTGCACTGTTTCAGATACTCTGCAAGAAGCAGGTGCTGACGATCAGTTTGGAGAGGCCTGATTCACAAGTCTGTTGTTTTTTGTGAACAAAGTTCCCAGCAGCAGAACTGTCTGTCGGGCCAGGACTGAAGGGCTTCAGCTCTGCACTGGGGCTGTTGCACCCTTTCCTGAAGTGCTGCTGCTGTGCTTTGTCTCCAGAGTGCAACTTGGTGGAGGGAGAGGACCACGTCGAGGTAAATGGAGCTGTTTTCCCAAAGCCATTTGTAGAGAAGCCAGTCAGTGCTGAAGACCATAATGTGTATATTTACTACCCGACGTCAGCAGGTGGGGGCAGCCAGCGGCTCTTTCGGAAGGTGAGGAGGGGGACTCCAGGTTTGGTGCTAGAACCAACAGATATGTGGCTCTGAAACCCATGTGGCTTCAGGAAGGAGTGTTGGGGGCAGGTGGAAGGGAAGGGAAGGTTTTGTGCTGGGGAGATCTAGACCTTAGAACTTCTAGCTCAACCCCATCTATCTGAGAATTGCAGAAGGGCATATTTTAGTGGTAATGCTGACCTTGCCTTCCTGTTTGACCTGTGTCCTGTCTAGCAGTCACAGAGCCATGTTCTGTGTTGAGCTGCATGCTGTTTTTTCCAGATCACTTCCTTGGTTTATGGAGATAAATTTTTTTAAACTTACGTTCCTGTCCTCTAGCATCATTGTTGCCCTTCTCAGCTTAGTGTAGCTTGAAAACGTGTTAAATGAGGTATTCATTCTTAGATTGCACAGGGCATCTGCCCTTACGCACTTCCACTTCACCAGCACACAGTTAATAGCTGTGATGTTTCTTTTTTCCAATCAGTTACATATCTGCCATTAATAAATGGATTGTTCCTTAGGTAACGTGCAGGCATGCCACTTGAGGTTGTCTCGAAAGCCTTACTAAAAATGAAACCAACATCATCATATACCCATAAGAGCAGTCAACTGTCTGAGAAGGAAGTTAAATGGCTCTGATTATTGCCCATCATCCTTTATTCTCATTTGATTATTAGCTAGGCTCCTTTCTTTCTGGGTCCTTAGCCACTGTTTTTTGTTCCATATCCTTGTAGTGATTGGAGTCAACTTAATGGTCTGTAATAACTTTTCTTGTCTTTAAAGCCTGGAAGAGGCTGCATTTTGGAGTCTCTTTTGTCCTATATAAATAAGTGTGTTGGAATAGGTGGGAGTTCTGAGAGGCATTCTGCTAATTCTTGGCCTATGCAATGAAACTTACTCTTGTTGTTCTTCCATCTAAGAAAAGGAGCTCCATGCTCTTCCTTGAGGTGTTTATTCTCTACTTTCAGATTGGCAGCCGGAGTAGTGTGTATTCCCCAGAGAGCAGTGTGAGGAAGACAGGCTCATACATTTATGAGGAATTTATGCCTACAGATGGCACTGATGTAAAGGTAAGGAAGAGTCTGGATTAGCTCCATCCTTCAGCAGGCCTGGGATTCCTGAAAGTTGGGCAGTCCTGCTTAGTCCTACTTAGATTCGTGAGTGTTTGCGAGGTGCTGACTGTGCAGCCTGGATCCCAAAGTGGGGAGCAAGTGTTCTGTAAGTTGTAACAGGAGGTGTATGATACCATTTGTTCTTCTCTCTGCGTCTGCAGTAGAAGCACCTTCTGGAAGCTGCAGTCAATCTAGCTGGTTATGTCAGGTTCACCTATTTCTCTTCCCAGGTGTACACTGTGGGGCCGGACTATGCCCATGCTGAGGCTCGCAAATCCCCTGCTTTGGATGGGAAGGTTGAACGGGATAGTGAAGGGAAAGAAATCCGTTACCCAGTCATGCTGACTGCCATGGAGAAACTAGTTGCTCGGAAAGTCTGCGTAGCCTTTAAGGTCTGTGTTTTATCTCCAGTGCAGGCAGGATACTCCACGAATGTCTGATCCAAATCTCAGTGTTGAAGGCTGAGCTCTGTTACCCCAATGTGGGTCTGGTGCTGCAGTCTTGGGTGCCTGATGGCAGTTGCTGTCTCTGCTGGCTGGGTGCAGCTGGTCCTGCTGGCCATGGCAGAATGCTGGTCAGAGATGACTGGGAAGGCAGGAGGGCCTGCAGCAGATGCCTTCTCTGCTCTTGGGTGGCTGGTGTCCAGCATACATCTGAGTATTTCATATCAGGTTCTGAGTATGCTTCTGTCCATCTGACCTGTGCTCATCGCATCTTTACTGTTTCCTAGTTGTGCTTATGTGCAAAACTTGGTCTTCTTCTGCTTTCTTCTATTTTTAATATGTCTTTTGTGCATATTTGTGTTCTATTTTATAGGTAGGTAGAGTGAGTGTGTGAGTCTAGGTATGGTGAAATGACACGTTCAGCAATGGCAACAGCAGAAGCACTTGGCTTCTGCTTCTACCCCCACTGCCATCTGCAACCCATACAGTTGTGCTCATACAGCTTTGGGCTTGTTCTACCTTGTAGCCCAACTTTCCACCTAGTGAAGGATGTCTTTGCCTGCACTGCTTATTGTCTGTCCATCTGTCCATCTATTCAAAATTGCTGGATCTAAAGGCAAGAGCAGGAGAGCCAGGCGCTGCTCTTGTCTAAAGCTTTCAGATCTCTGGGAGGTGGGGCGTGACTGACAGCTTAATCCGGGAGCTCATGGGTTGAGCTTTTGATACAGCTGTGAGGGTGTAAAGGCTCCTCTAAGGGGCCTCTTCCTGCTGGCTGTATTTTCACACTTCTTCAAGGCTCCTGGGGCAGGCATGGAGTGGAGAACGTGGAGAATGGCTGCAGCACTAGCAGAGCAGTGCTGCGCAGTGTGCACTGGCTGCTTTGTGTGTGCCCGGGCTGCTGTCCCCTCCTGCACTCCCTCACAGCGTACCTGAGTCCTGTGTCCTCTGCTTCCTCATGCAGCAAACAGTGTGTGGGTTCGACCTCCTGCGGGCAAACGGCCACTCCTTTGTCTGCGATGTGAACGGCTTCAGCTTTGTGAAGAACTCCATGAAGTATTACGATGACTGTGCCAAAATCCTTGGGTATGTAAAATTAGAGTTTTGATAGCAGGTAAAGAAACTCATATCAAAGGAAACTGAATATGGGGTGCTGATCAGTACGCTGGAGAGGTCTGCAGGTGGTTCATGCAGGGACATTTGTTCAGCAGGTGAGAGCTTGGCTCTGGGAGAAGTGGGTTAATTACTTTTAGCCCCTGGAGCTTCTGCCTGTGTTGGCCTTACATCTAGCTGTAGACTAGACAGCTATCTTACAGGACTTTCCATTGGGTGCTAAGTCCAGCTGCAGTATTGGTGATATGAGGAAAATTGGTGTCCCTTTAGGGTGCCCTGATTAGCCAGCCCATGGTGTGGTAGATGTCTCTGCAAGGATGATGAATGGAAATTCTGTGGCTCTCCAAATCTTCCAGCTTGGACCACTAAGGAGAAGGTGGAGAACCAAGGGAATGGAATTTCTTGTGAGATTTGTATTATAATCTCTTCCAGAAATATAATCATGCGGGAATTGGCTCCCCAGTTTCATATTCCCTGGTCCATCCCAACAGAGGCAGAAGACATTCCCATCGTCCCCACAACTTCAGGCACCATGTGAGTACCTTCTCAAGAGAATGCTGGTGATGGCCAGATGAGGGACAAAGTGCAAACCGTGTCCCAGGGACAGACATCATCCAGCAGCATGACATTGTCAGCTGCTGTCTTGGTTGCAATCCTGAAATGCCTGTGGAAGGGCTTAGCCATGCACACAAAAGGGTTGATGAATGGTAAACAAGTCATAGTTTTGGCGAATGCAGACAAGCAGCCATTGCAGGAATTGCAGAAACTGCTCACATGGCTTTCAGAAGGCCCAGGTTCTTGGTCAGCACAGGAAGCTGATGAGGGCATCACTGCAGCTGGCTCAGTGTTCAGCAGGCTGCTTGCCTGGGGAAGAGGTGTGTGGAGCTGCCAGTGGAAAGGGTGGAAAACAATCAGCTGAAGTACTCACATTGCCTGTACACTTGCAGACCCTCACTTTACTGTCCACCATCTGAGGCTAAAAGATCAATGGCAGAAGTTTCTTTATGATCCTCAGCACACCTGCATGCATGGAAGAAGTGAACAAAGTACGTGCTACTATAGCAAACCAGATGACCTGGTAGTGTCTGCAGTACTTTGCTTTTATAGCCTTGTACTTGGTTTCATATGGGAGTTCTGCCACTGATGAGAAAAGCAGCTGTCAAAAGGATGGAACTGAAAGAACAATGGGAAATTGCTTTCTGGTGGCGGTTCTGGAGCGTAGGGGCACATTTGTCAGGTGTATATTGTGTTTCTTCAGGATGGAGCTTCGTTGTGTTATTGCAGTCATCCGTCATGGAGATCGCACCCCAAAGCAGAAGATGAAAATGGAAGTGAAGCATCCCCGGTAAGAGTCAAGACAAGAAGATGCTGTGCTGCTGAGAAGTGAGGAGGGCCTGTTTCCTCACTCAAGAGGAGGAGCACAAGGGCTGAGTGCATGGGAGGCAGTGCTTTTTCCTGGTTCTGTTCAAGCAAATGCTTTCTGCCCAGTTGGGGGATCCCCCTTTCACCATAAGGATCTGGCACCTTCTGTGTGAACACTGCAAGAAAGAGTGAATTCTGTTAGGTGCTGCAAAGGGAAGTGCTCCCTTTGTGGATTAAGCACAGCCAGCAACTTGGCACCGTGCAGCCACTCGTTCACTTCCTCCTTTCTTCCTTCCAGCTCCCAGTGGGATGGGGAGGAGAATGGAAAGAATGTAACTCCCATGGGTTGAGATAAGAACAGTCCAGTAACTAAGGTATAATACAAAACTGCTACTGCTACCACTAATAATAATAGTGATAAGGGGAATAACAAGGGGAGAGACTATAAAAGTAAAAAGGAAAGGGGAAAAAAACCCCATCAACAAACACAAGTGATGCCCAATACAATTGCTCACCACCTGCTGACCAATACCCAGCCTGACCCTAGCACGATCTGGGCCTTCTGGGTAACTCCCCCCAGATTCTGTACTGGGCATGACGTGCTGTGGCATGGAATACCCCTTTGGCTAGTTGGGGTCAGGTGTCCTGTCTCTGCTTCCTCCCAGCTTCCCATGTCCCTCCTCACTGGCAGAGCATGAGACTGAAAAGTTCTTGGTCGGGGTAAGTGCTACTGAGCACCAGCTAAACCATCAGTGTGTTACCAGGGTTATCCCCAGACTAAAGCCAAAACCCAGCACTGCACCAGATCCTAGAAAGCAGAAAAATAGCTGTTAGAGCTGAACCCAGGGCAACCCCACTAAATGGGAAGCTGGTGGCTGCTTCCTTTTTGTACCTGAAGATGGAAACACTTGTTTTTATCAGAATTTCTGAAGCACAGAAAGGAGCCAGTGGGTCTACTTGTTCTCCCTGAAGAACAGAGCATGAATGCCTATGGAGGGATGACAGTTCTTGTAGCACTAAAACAGCAGAAACTGGATCAGGGCTCTTTGTTGTCTCTGTTCAGGTTCTTTGAATTATTTGAGAAATATGATGGCTACAAGACAGGGAAGTTGAAGCTGAAGAGACCAGAGCAGCTACAGGTGGGTCCTTTCTGGGGCTGCTGTGTGGAACGTGCAGGTAAAACAGATCCCAGTGTGAGGCAATTCTTTGGGAGGGTGGTGCTCTCAAAAGAGCAACCGTGTCATGCACAAACACTCCCTTTCTTATTCCTCACTGTGTGCACCCTCAGCTGGGTGATAGCAGTTCCATTCCGAGAGTGGAATGGAAACTGTTCCTGGCTGATACAAGGACTATAGGATGGGAATGACCTGATGCAACTTGCCCATCTGCTGTGGATGCCTCTGGTGAAAGATGGGTCGAGGTGAGGGAGTGGGGTAGTTGGAGGCCCCTGCTTGGTTCTGAACAGGGCTGGAGCACAGGGTGGGGATCAGCCAAACTGCAGCATGAAATTTGTCCTGTCTGAGCTGTGTCTTGTGAAGTGACGTGTCCCTGGTGCTGGTTTGTGTGAACCTGATGCTGGGTGAAGCCATCTAGAGGCCTCGCAGGAGTACAGTGGTGAGTCCGAGAGAGAGTTGCTGGATGCTTGAGACTGTCTGCTCCCCAACAGGAAGTGCTGGACATTGCACGGCAGCTTGTGGTGGACCTGGGAACCCACAGTGACTGTGAGATTGAGGAGAGGAAATCCAAACTGGAACAGCTAAAGAGCGTCTTGGAGATGTAAGGGCTCGTATCTCAGGGCACTGTGAGTTTGCCTTAGAGCTGTGGGTCTGGTGTTGGCATCACAGAAGCAAAGGAAGGGTTTCTCTCAGGACCATAGCTCGCTGTGGCATACATAGGCAGTGTCTGTGCTCAGGCCAAGTCTGTGGAGCTCAGAGGATGATTTTGTGCTATGATTGCTTCCCCTGCTCTCTCTGCTCACTAGGGATGTGGTTCTCCTTGGGGTGCTGGCAGACTAGGCTTTTTTTCTGTGATTCACTTAAAGATGTAGCTAGAAATGAACTAAGGTTGATTAAAGCCCCAGTGAGGTATGAGAGCACAGAGAGCTGTCAGCTGAAGGGCAGGCAAGTGAGTGGATCTTTTACTTGAATATGGGGGAGTTGTTTGGTTTTGAGGCTGCATGTTGGGTCGCAGGTAGATGGCAGAAATGTTCGCGTTGCGTTGCAATTGGTGTTGCAGCATGAAGTCTCTTGCCTGTGCTGTGTTTTTGCTGTGTGGTGCCTGGAGACCTCTGGGCAAAAGGTGAGTGGGGTTGATTTCTTTAAATTGTTTCCCTCCCTCTCCTTGTGACAGGTATGGACATTTTTCTGGCATTAACCGTAAGGTTCAGTTAACCTATCTGCCTCATGGACATCCAAAAGCTGCAAGTGAAGATGAAGGTAAAGAAACCTGGCCTCTGGATGTGGAAGCAAGATTAGTGACCCATATCTTACCTTTGCTCACAACATGTGGGGGTTGGAGTGATGCATAATGTCATGTTCCAACATACCATGATGGTGCCACAGGGCTTATGCTTCGAATTTAATGAATGTCAGCCTGTGCCTTCAAAAAATAGTGTCTCTTAATTTCATACCTGCTGTTTTGGCTCCTGGGGATTTTGGGTCAGGCTTGTGTTGATAACACTCTACAGGATGCTGATGACAAGCTCCTCTTCCTCCCCTCCTCTCCCCGTGCAAGCTCAGCTGTGAGATCTGATGTAGTGAGTAGCTGTTTGTCTCCTAGAAGCTCGACGAGAGTCTTCCCCATCCCTTCTCCTGGTGCTCAAGTGGGGTGGGGAGCTGACACCAGCAGGAAGAGTCCAGGCAGAGGAGCTGGGCCGAGCCTTCCGCTGTATGTACCCCGGTGGCCAAGGTGAGCTTTGCCCATGTGTCTGGTCCTGTCCTGTGACTGTGCCAAACTGTCCAGGCCAGCAGTCACCAGCATGCAGGGTGCTCAGACGTCTGTGGGCTGTGTGCAGCCTGTGTGACTTGGGTCTTTACTGGTTTTGTGCTTTTAGCTAGGATAGGGTAAACAATTCCAGTGGGTTTTGCACCCAAAGCTCCCTAAGCTGGCTAGAGATGTCTGCTGCAGTGGGTAAACTCTAGCATGTCTTGGAGCACAATTAGCATTATTCCAACTAATGTGCCAGTATTCACAAAAGAGGAGCCGTTCAAGTAAGATATGTTCTGATGCAGCAAGTATGAATTTCCCTATGATTAACAAGGAATTAGGTCAGATGTAGAAAACAGGAAATCTTACCTTGGAACAAAGGGAATTCTGCCTTGAGCCAGGAGAATAGGAAGGTAATTTCTCCATATTTTCTCTGCCATAATTCTCACTCTGAAAAGCATTTAGTACACAGGCAGCTCAGCAAGAGCTTGGAGGGAAAAGACTAAGATTGCCTTTTTTATCCAAGTAAAGAGTCAGAAGTCATACACTGCTGCTGTATTGATCTGATGAGACCAGTATTGGATACCACTTCTCCTGTACTTGTATGCTTAATTAATTCCATTTAAGTAATTAAATTTGAAAGTAATTAAGGTAATTTAAATGAAATAAATTTCCTTCTGGAGTAAGAAAGAGTTGCCCTCGGTGGAAGAGGATTGTGTCAGGGAATACTTAAGCAAACTGGACATGGTAAGTCCATGGGCCCTGCAGAATCATCCTTGAATGCTGTGGGAGCTGGCAGGTGTCACTACAAGGCCACTCTAGATGATCTTCAAAAGGTGGTGGGGACTGGGGGTGTGCCTGAGGGCTGGGGGAGAGGAAATGTCACTTCTAGCTTCAAAAATGACAAGGGGGACCAAAGGAGGCTGGTCAGCCTTGCAATCTGAGGGACAGTTATAGAGCAGCTAATCCTGCCTTCATGACAAGGCCTGTGTGCCATTCTTGAACAGGGGAATGGTGAGTTAGAAAGGCTGGGGACTTCCCAGGCCTGTTGTGGATCTCTGAAGCCAGAGCTGAGAGGATCAGCCATTGACTTGGACAAGAGACTGGGGAGACAAGAAGACAGGGTGCAGGAGAGGCCATTCCAGTTGAAGCACAGGGACTTGATTGCAGTGGAATGACCCAAAACCTGAGAGGAGACCTGTCTGCAGAGCTCTGGTCAAGTGGAGTGCAGTTACCAGCAGGTAGGGCTGAGCCCTAAGGTGTTAGTCGATACCATTTTTGAGCTAGCTGCTCTGTATCTGGTGAGCACTGAGTGGCTTCCCTCTTGCTCACAGTAGAGCTTGGTGTGAGCATGTACAAGGTGACTTCAGTCGTTCTGAGTCATGGCTTTGGAGATGTCTGCTTCACACAGTCACTCGTGGAGAAGGAGAGATCTTATTTTGCTGTGAGATGCTGTGTTCGTGGGTAGCAGATGGAACATGGCAGCTTTGTCCAGATAGATAGCTGACTTGCGGCTTATGTCTGTCCTTGTCTAGCAGGGTGTTTCTTTGAGTTGTGAGCTCAGAGCTGGGAGCAATTTTCCTATCTTCTCATGCAGTGTGACTGGGTACTGTGCAAAATCATCATGGGATTCCAGGCAGCAGGGAATTAGTCACCACTGCACTGTCTTTGGAGGGTCTCACTCCAGCTGCCTGGGCCGCTTTCTGCCATTCCTGATCTGACTCCTGTGGTTGACTCAGCCATCATAAACAAACCATTAGTTCGTGCTGTGAGATGTGCTTTGGGAGCCAGGAGCCTTGCTGCTGAACAGCTCTGCTTGCAGTTCTGATGGCAGACACGCGTCGAAGGAGGCAGGGGTTTGTGCATCTCAAGCTATCCAGGCAGGCAGAGCAGTTGTGGAGTGCTCAGGGAGGGCTGCTGCAGAATTTGGGCAGCATCAGATTTCACTGGTGGATGTTTGCTGTTTTGTTTTTGTTTTTTTTTTTCCTCAAAATGAGGTTTCCCAGGTTAAGCAAAGTCTGAATCCCAGTGCAGTCATTGTCAACAGCCGCAGCAGTCTTCTTCGGAGAAGCCTAAATGCTGGCTATAGAATTGATTCATTCTCTGCATAACTTCGTTGCTACAATGGAGTCTGTTGTCTAAAGCAGTATATTCAGCTGATAGTTTTGCAGGTGTCAGAATATCCATTTTGAGTTTGTTCTCTGTTCCAGGTGACTACGCTGGTTTCCCTGGATGTGGCTTGCTCAGACTGCACAGCACCTACCGTCATGATCTCAAGATCTATGCCTCAGATGAGGGACGAGTTCAGATGACAGCAGCAGCTTTTGCAAAGGTTCTTCCTCCCTTTTAGGCATCAGTTAGGTCTGCTACATTAATCTTAAAATATGCCAGTTCTAAAGGAAAACCTCTGGTGATAAATAAAGAGCTGTCATAGGAGCTTCCCCCTCTCTGGTGGGAGGATGGTGGTACACTAAATAGCAAGTGTATGGGGCAGTACTGGAAATCTAGTGTAGCTGCATATGTATGCTATGTTTAGTATCCTGTCCAGGATAGGACTCTGGCTGGTGAAGGGGTTATTTATGGAGTATTTGATGTCAGAGCACTTCAAACCTGTTGCTGAGTATTAATTGCCTCCAAAATGAGTGTTTCTTGGATGACTGCCCAGCCAGAGTGGTTATTCTTTGACTGCTGGATTTAAAATGGAAATGAAATGTCTTTGGTGCAGTGTGAGGTGGAGGGCAAACAGGTTCATCTGCAGTTAAAGCTTGAGCCAAGGGTGACCTTAGCTGTCCTTCAGAGCCTCTGCTGTATCACCATTTCCCTGCAGACTGGGTTGTCTGCTCAGCAATTGCCTAGACAGATCTGGGCTGTGCAGGCTGTGCTGACCTTTTGTGTCGAGTAGCTCTAGGAGCATTCCAGAGTCACTGGTGACTGTAGGTACTGTTGCTGTATAACTGCTCCTTAAGGACAGTTGGGATTTCACTTAAGTTGACTGAAGGCTGGCCATGAAACTACCAGAAATGCTTTTTGCTTGGGTTGCACATAGCTGAAACCTTGTTTGGTGTTGCTGTAGGGTCTGCTGGCCCTGGAAGGAGAACTGACCCCCATCCTGGTGCAAATGGTGAAAAGTGCCAACATGAATGGTCTCCTGGACAGTGACAGCGATTCCCTTAGCAGCTGTCAACACAGAGTGAAGGCACGACTGCATGAGATCATGCAGAAGGATGCTGAGTTCTGTGAAGAGGATTACGAAAAGGTAAAGCACCTGTGGGGCTTTATTACTTCCTGTATCTGGAAGGAGAATAGTGGTGGTTTGATGTGAAGCCTGCTGGTATGTGAACAGTAGTTGGTTATTCTGAGATCAGTTCAAGATGACAGGATATAAACTGAATTTAAGAAGGGAAAGGGCAGGCCCCTGCCCTTCTCCAGGTGATAATCCTCAGTGTTGCTCCATTGTCCCCTTGAAGAATCTTCCTCTCCTATTAGAAGTCCCAGGGCATTTTATTCTTACGGGTGTGCTAAAAGAAGAATTCTCATGGTTTGCTGCACGCTGCCCAGTTGCTGTGGGCAGGCAGTGCACCTCGCCGCATCCCAGATCTGTGCTCTGTGCCTGTGTGAACATGTTGTTTGGATACGAACCCTTTTGTGTTCCTATCAGTGTCTGATAAGTGCAGTGGAGAGAGCATGGGCTACATCCAGCACAGCAAGCAATAAAAGCACTACATCCGCTTCTCCAACAAGTCCCCAAACCACGGTTTTTCCCAGGTTGAGATCTGGTTACTGGCCTGAAATCCGTCACCATTAAGGAACAGATTTACCATCTCAACTATTTAAAACTTCTGTGAAACCCTTCTGCTGAAACACAGAAGCAAAGTTAGACAAGAGTGGATATTGTAGGTGGAGGGAGGTCTGATCTGGTAGGAGCAGTTGTTTGCTCCCTCTGAGTTTGGTCCTGAGAAAGTTTTAGGACATGCCTAAGTACCCCTAGGAATAGGCCAGCTTCTTGCACTCTGCTGGGGACACTTCTGTATGGATCAGAAAGCAGTAGAGCTGCAGAAGGCAAACATTATGTGTTTCCAGTGTGTGAGGATACTAACTAATCTCTACTGGTATCTTCTCTCAGCTAGCACCTACAGGCAGCGCTTCTCTGCTCAACTCCATGACGTTTATCCAGAACCCAGTTGAGGTCTGCAACCAGGTGTTCAGCCTGATTGAGAATCTCACCTCCCAGATACGAAAACGTCTGGAAGACCCAAAATCTGCAGGTGAGCATCAGAACTGGAAAGAGTCTGGAGCAGATTCTTTGTTGTTACATCTTCAGAACTCCCAAACACCACTGTGGTTTATGTTTGTAGCAAAGAAATTCTAAAGCAAAATGCTGTATGTGCTATTGATGTAGAAGGCTCCTATTTCACTTTAAACTACAGTTAAAGAGAGCTGTGATGTATAGGGAATGATATGTGCATCTTGGGTTTGGAGTGAATGTGAACAGCAGCAGTATAGCCTGGAGAGCGAGGCCTGACTTTTTCAGGCATTTCCTGTAGGGAGCTCAGGACTATAAACAGTAAGTTTATCAGTCATGATTTGCTCATCTCTAAGAACTTTCCTAGTAACAATGCAGAGGTTTTTAGGAGGCATCTGTGGGACATTTCACACAGTTTATGGCAGATATGAGCCAACAGGCAAGTAGCTTCACTTTTCTCAAGTATTTTGGGAGTAGCTTGTTTCTGCAGGTTAAAACTCCATGCAACAGGTCCAGTGGATTTTCCAGTCTGGGATCTCTGTGGGTGACATATGATCAGAGCCCTTCTGTGCTGAGAGAAGGGAGTCATAGCTGTCACTTGAACTCTACACGGAAGCAGTGAGGATGTGAATGTGGTTGGGTGTTCTCTGTGTTTAGACCTGCAGCTGTACCACAGCGAGACTTTAGAACTGATGCTGCAGCGCTGGAGCAAGCTGGAGCGAGATTTCCGCATGAAAAACGGGCGCTACGACATCAGCAAGATCCCTGATATCTATGACTGCATCAAGTACGATGTGCAGCACAACTGTGCACTCAAACTGGAAGGCACAGCTGAACTCTTCAAACTCTCCAAAGCCCTGGCAGATGTGATCATACCCCAGGTACAGTCTTGCGCGTGTGATGATGCCTGTGGTGTCAGTTTCTGACCCTTTCCCTGTCTTTTTTCTTGGCTCTCTTGCACGTTAACTCTCAAGGCAGCATATCACAGGTGTTCCTCAGATATATCTCAGACGTGTTCGTATGAGGCCAATACCATTTGTGGCTTAAGGAGCTGTCTTCCTGGATGGGGATTCTGACAGCATCAGAATGATGAGATGATGCAGCAGCATTTCTGTGTTCACTGTAGTGCATTATAGCACAGCTGCAAGCTGCGTGTGTGCTACAGCAACTTCCCGTTCTCCACATTCAAGACTGAACAGGGGGAAAGAGATTTCTGTTATGAAGTCAAGGCTTGTTCTGGCAAATTTGTTATTCTTGTCAAACCAGAACTTGTTCAGTGTTCAAAGTTGGCTTGTTTCTCACGAAGTTTATGCCCATGAACATGGGAGGAGAAGGGAGGGCCGCATGCAGTGAATCTCTGTGTTGACCATTGTTCTGTTCCACTTCTGGCAGAAATGCTTCATGCAGATGGGATGAGCTTCTACCAGCAAGGTCCAGTTGTGCTTGTGCCCAGAACTGGTCTTCTAAACTTCTTCACGGTGTTCCCGACAAGATGCAGTTTGGCTGTTTCCAGCAAAGCACTTCAAATTTAATCTCTGCAGATAGCAGTTGTTGCATTAATGCTCATGCCAGGCCAGGACATAAGTTTGTGTGTCATAAGAGGGGTTCCCTGATGGTACGTGTCTCTCAGCTGCTGGAAGAATAGTGACAGTCAACGTACAGACAGCGGGAGAAGTCTCTGTCTCTTGTTACCCTCTGCAGTATGGGAAAAAAAATAGAGACGGGTTTTGCATGACATTTCCCTTTCTGTCCTTGCTTAAATGTAGTGGTCATTTTGAAAGGACTGTTGATGTCCAGCCTCCTTTCATGTGGATGTAGCAAAGAACCAGGGCTTAAGGGTGTCTGTTGTTTTATTCCCACAGGAATATGGGATTAATAAGGAGGAGAAACTGGAGATTGCCATTGGCTTTTGTCTTCCTCTCATTAAAAAGATCCAGTTGGACCTACAGAGAACCCATGAAGATGAGTCTGTCAACAAACTACATCCCTTGTAAGGACTGTGCTGCTGGTGGCAGGGAGGGCAGCTTTGGAGCAGTGTGTGGGAACCACACCAGAAGAGTGTACTGGTGTGGAAGGAGCCACTCAACATACATTGGAGGACACACCAAGAGGGAGGCATGGTGGTGCTTCTAGAACAGAAGAGAAATAGAAAGGCACCTTGAGACTGCTGAGTGGGAACATGGTGCCACAGGAGCTAAAGCCCACTGTAGTTGAATAGCTGTGCCTTCATCCTTGTTTCAGCAAGGGACAAGTGCTAGTATGATGAGGCCACCTCTGCCCCACCATGTGTCTCCATTAGGATAACATAAAACTTGCTGCTTCTGTGCCTGGTGCTCTCACTGTTTGTTCTGATCCTGCTGCTCTTCAACAGTGTGGGGTTATGTTGTTCCATTAGGTGTCCAGAAATGCTGCTGTATGAAAGATGGCAATTCACTGGCAGACTGTGAGTAACACTGGGCTGGTTTTGGTTTAGGTACTCAAGAGGAGTTCTGTCACCAGGTCGCCATGTTCGGACACGGCTCTACTTCACCAGTGAGAGCCATGTGCACTCTCTGCTCAGTATCTTCCGCTATGGGGGGCTCCTGGATGTAAGTGTCCCAGCAGTGCTCACAGAGTAAGCCTCCCTGCTTTTTCTCAGTGGCCCTTCCGAGGTGGACAGTGTATGTTTGTAGTTTGTCCCTCTAGCCAGCTCCCCCAGTGATGGTGTGCATTAGTGACCTCCAGCCAGCTCCATCTGTGCTGTGTTTGCATGTTGCAGCTCCCTGCCTTTCCAGCATGTAGGATTGTTCTTCCTCAGTCCTGACACTGCCTGCCTTGCTTGTACAGAAGCATGTTTTCTCCAAGAGCTGTCTGGCTGGTTTCAGATGAGTAGAGTCCTACCTGTGTAGGAGGATAGCAGTACAAGGCAATGGGATGAGGGAATTTCTCTTCCTGCTTCCTGCAAGCCTTTATTTCAAGAGCTTGACCCTGTTATTTAGTGATTTTCTGTCAATTCTAAGTCAATAGATCAGTTTGACTTCAGGTTTCAAATGCATATGGGGTGCTCTCTACCAGAGGGACAAATTGCACATTTTTAGGGGACTAACTCATCCAGTCCAACCTTCACTTGTTCGCATAGCCTGCTTCCTGAAGGAATTGACATGCAGACCCTGAAAAAAGCTTTGCTTTAGACTCCTCGAGAGGCTCTCAGATTTATCCTCCCATTTTTAAGCATGATGTTCTGAAATGCCTTGAGAATTTGGGCTTGCTGAGCAGATGTGACTTTTGATGTCCGTGGAAGCTCAGTGTATCTGTAGGCTCTGATTGTACAAGTACCTCTGAATTGCTCACTGGGTAAGGCGTCACTTGTTTCACTGTCTTGAGTGTTGGAGGATGCTGGGTTGCCAGCACAGGGATATTAGGCTGCATCTGGGTTCATTTGTCCCAGTGGGGTTTACTTCATATCCATCAAGGTGGTGAGATGTCCTGCAGCAGCAGCAGTAGCATTTCAGGTACAGCCATTCCCTGGCTGTGTTGAGAAGCAGTGTGGGGTGGGCTGCCCTGCCGCCTGGAGCCCACGGTGCTGCGTGGCCCTCTAGCCTTTTCATTCGGCATCATGTAAAAGCAGCTTGCCTTTGTCCCTTACGTAGCACAATTTCCTTCCCTGTGCTTTTACTTTGTGAGATTTCTGTAGCCGCTATTTGGGGATGACTGTGTCTGGGAACCTGCTGGGTTATGCTTCCTCCAGTCAGCATGGCACAGGGGGCTTGCGGCTGGCTGTGCTCAGGTCTGCACACGGGTTGTGTGGGGAGCTGTAGTGTCCCTCTATGCAGTTGCTCCTTCCGGTAACCACCCCCTGCCCTCACTGCATGGTCATCTCTCTTCATGCAAGTTAAGCAAGGCAGTTTTTGTCCTGACAGTGTTGTTATCTTGTGGAGAGCCAAACTTCCTGAGAGCCATTTCACTGAGTGCTGCAAGGTGTCTGCTGTTGCTTATTCCATGTGACTGTTTATGTGTATATATCAGGAAAACAAAGACCAGCAGTGGAAGAGAGCCATGGACTATTTGAGTGCTATCTCAGAGCTGAACTACATGACCCAGATTGTTATCATGCTCTACGAGGACAACAACAAGGTGAGGGATGTAGCTGTAGGATAAAATACTTCCTGCCACGATGCAAGGCCCAGTCTCTGAGAGATGAGTTCAGCTGAGAAGTCTGTAGCCTGAGCTCTCTCCACTTGTGGGTAAAGATGGATGGATCAGTAGCACAACTGCTAGGTTTTATTTTTAGGTGGGAGGCAGTGATCCAGTTAATGCTTGTTACGTGACAGCAAATGCCACCCTGAGCAGGAATACCAAACTCAAGTAACCAATACTGTCTATTTTAAAGCATTTCCTGGTACAAAAGAATTTGTGGTGTCTTAATATTAATTAAAAAGGAACAGTAGGAAAAAATAAGTTAAAAAAATTATATTTGGATTTTTTTCCAAAATATTTCTAGAAAATATCCAGAAATTCCACATTCATAAACTTTGTTTTATTTAACAAATACACTGCTATAGTCAGGGACTTATATACTGGTACCTTCAGGTAGTAAAGAGGATAATTTCAAAACCATATGGAATGTGCAAGCTGATGGTGATGACCATAAGCAGGTTGAATCCCAGCTCCTGTACTGCAGGAGGCTGTAGTGTGTGAGGATGCAGTCCCTTTCCGCCATACAGCATCAAGTTAGAATTTTGTATTCACAGAGCTGATGTGGGGTTCTCATGGTAGGAGTGAAATATTTCCTGGTGCCATTTGTAAAAGAAAATAAAGAAGGTCTGTATAGAGCTCTCAGGAGTGGTGTAAATCTGTTAGTAAGTAGAGATGGTGAAACTTTTTTTTTTACATCATTACAGCCAGATACTGTAAAAGCTTTGGCTTCCTTAAAAAAAAAAAAAACCACAAAAATTCATGTTAGAGACAGTTACTTAAATCTTGGAACAACCTGATTAAAAATCCAGGAGGGAACCAGTGTGCTGGTTTTGCAGCAGGCATGGGTCAGAAGGGACTATGTTTCAGACTTCTCTATAGAGAGATATACATACAGCCTGATTCCTCAGAGGACCATTTTGTCCTCTGGTGGCTGTTGTCACAAAATAACAACAATTTGAATGCCTCAGCTTTGTGCCAATATAGGCTGTCCTTTTGGATGAGACAAACCTAGAGCATTTATGTTCATGGTTTCTTGTTGCTTTCGCTTTCCTTCCAAAAGGATGCACTTGGGATGCGCGCCGCACCAGTATGGCGAGATGGCCAGATCCAGGCCACGGCCTGTGCTGACAGTGGCACTGATGATTATTTATTTACCTGTTCCCTGTGCCTCACGTTCACAGGACCCATCTTCAGAAGAGCGTTTCCATGTGGAGCTGCATTTCAGCCCTGGTGTGAAAGGCTGTGAGGAAGACAGAAACGTGCCCACAGGGTTTGGCTTTCGCCCTGCCTCTGCAGAGGTGAGCGTGCTGCCTGGCTCTGGCTGCCCTGCCAGCCTCTGCTCCCAGCCAGTCTCCAGCAGCAGGTGGTCCTCTGAGCTTTGCTGTGTGCCACTAGTGGGCTGCACCAGGGCTCACCATGGCAGTCTGAGTGTCCTGCTATCCTCCTGGGCTGCCCAGAGCTGGAGATGCAGGGCTGGGCAGTGCCTGGGGAGCGCTTGCAGAGCCACGTGCCTGTAGATGTCAATGTTTCCCTGCTGCAGAATGAGGACAAGAAAGCAGACCAAGGCAGCCTGGAGGATCTCTCCAAGGAGAAGAGCATGGATGAGCCAGACCACGGGCAGCAAAGGTCTCCGCAGCTTTCCGAGCCGGTCAGCATCCAGCGAAGGTCACCGCTGATCAGGAACCGCAAGACTGGCTCCATGGAGGTAACGATGCCTTGCACACCCCTGGTGGTTCTAATGAAGGTCTTTTGCTTGGTTTTGGTTTCCTGGCATTCCTTTTAATGGCCCAGAGTTTGAGTTGATTCTGGGAAGAGATCTGCAGATGTTAAAGAGGGATGTTTTGGAAAACAGGCCTCCCAGACTCCTCCTCATTCAGGAAGGACAGGGGGAGCACAGGTCAGAGGAACTGGTGAGGAAAAGCAAGTAAGGAAATGCTTAAAGCCGCAGGTATTATTTAGATTATGTGCTCTGTAGAGGCATCAGGGTAACCAGCTGCAAGCCTGTATGCAATCTCTTCACCTAACTGTGATGACTCCCCTTAGGCCCTTTACCTCTCACAGTTCAGCTTCACATTTCTTATTCCTTTCTCCCATCTAAGATCTCGCACAGACCAGAGGTCCCTGCCAACTGGTGGGTTTCCTACAGAGGGTTTGAACTGCCAGGGTTTAGAACTGTCCTGTTCACTGGTCTGCAAAAAGTAACAAAGATCAATTTTACTGTTCTTACTTCTCTCCTTCAGGGCTGTTACGTGTCGTAGGGCTAGCTGCGCAGGCAGCAGGCACCTTCAAAATGCTCTAGAGTTGCCCCTCCTTTTGGAGGAACTTTACAGGCATTTTTGCTGTATCTTTTCTGAACCAGTGAAAGCACAGAATCGGGGCTCAAGGTATTTGTTAGCTGGGCTTCCATCTCTGTGTCACTTACAATGTAATATTTGCATGCAGCAGTTGGGCTCTTTGTAAAGGCCCATACTAAGTCAAAGGGGATATACTTCACTGCTGCTAAAGAAGGAAGCCCCACTGATCCCAGCAAGAGACTCAAGAGACAAGGAGCTCAGTACCTGAGTCCCTTCATACTTCTGAAATCTCCACTGATCCACAGCCCAACGCAAACTTGAAATTAAAATGGAGCATGCACTGTCACAATCTTGGCATATGAGTGCTTTTATGCTTCTTGGGAGTTGTGATTTTAAGGAAAAGGCATACTTTTCTTTCCCTTCAGAGACCAGTGAGTGTGACACTGATGATACTCTTTGTCTTTGCAGGTGCTATCTGAATCTTCTTCCAAATCAGGAGGTTATCGCCTCTTCAGCAGTTACTCGAGACAGTCTTCTGAGATGAAGCAAAGTGGCTTAGGTACTGTACTTGACCTGTAACCAGCCTGCTCACATGGACCTCTGTGTTTCTGTGGGCATGTCTGTCTCTCTACATACACATGTGGCTTAAGTTCCTTGTATGTCTCTCTGTATGTTTCATGTTTTCTTTTAGTGTTACTGTTTAGACCACTGTAGAGACTATCTTGTATTTCCTTTTGTGTATGATCTTCTCCTTCAGCTTCTAGCAACAGAAGGTGCACTTTTGATCCCTTATAGTATGTGAGCAGCAGAGCAGGCTGCTTACTTGCAGGTTGCCTTCTGGGTCGACATTGCTGTCATTTGTTCTACCATTTCTGAACTTATTAGGAAGAGATAATTTTACATGAGAACTGGTGTGCTTTCTGTTCTGCAAAACAGTAGTTTATATGCAAAGGTGCTCTTCATGTAAGATTATTGTATTTCTGCCTTTACTTCATAAAAATCTCTTCTGCGGAACAGATCCGTCATCTGCAACGGTGTTTGACAGCTCTGTAATTGAGCTGGAATCCCTGGTTAGCCATTCTTTGCATGGTAGCCAGCAGAAGAGAGTATTTTGGGGTACTTGGTGTTTTCTGCTTGTCCTTGAGAATACCGCTCCCTGTCATGCTAACCTGAACTATGGCTTAGTAGTTGAAATTCTTCCTGAAATATTTTTACTAAAGCAAGATCCGTTTGGAAATTAAAAAGCTGTCTTTGTGTCCCAAGGTTCAAAGACAGCTGTGAAAGCTAGATCTTGCAAATGACTAATAAGCACCAGGAGGTGGAAATGCCCAAGTTATGCCTGCTTTTTTCCTTTAAACGTTTTTTACCTTCTGGCCTGGTTCTAGATTTGCAGCATTTCTGATTCATCAGTCCCTTACTCTGTTATGTGGACATCCTGCAGCTAAGAGGCCTGAAAAAGCCTGATCGTTTCTTTGTTGCGTTTGAATGAACTGCTGCTTTGGAAGCTGGTCCTTACCAAGTAAAGGGAATTTTCTCCAGAGTGGTTAGGAAGTATTCCTGGAGTCTGCCAGCTAAACTCCCAGCCAGTTGGAAAAATCTAAGAAGGAATGCTGATGCACATGATTTTCATGAAGGCACAATAGCCTTGGCCATAGTGGGTTTTGAATGTGCTGTTTCATGTGGTGCATCTACTTACTTTTGCCTTTCACAGACCACCTGCAAGATATAGTAGCTGTAACAAGCTGCCTTGTTTAGGCTGGAAGATACCTGTGGCTATTCTGTGAGTCCATGTGAATCAATACAAGCATTTGTGAGGTGTTGCACAGGCAGCTGCTTGGAGGATTACTGAATACATCAAATGCTACATACAAATTATCTTTACTGTTGGTATGTCTGAGTACCAGAAGGCATGTGCTCTGGAAAGCAGATATTACAGTCTACTTGCCACAGCCTTTTCCAGGTTTCTGAGGAATCTCTGTTTGGCAATAGAGAAGACTACAGCTCTGCTGAACACTTGTTTAGTACTACTTTTCCTTGACAGCAGAATTTGAAATGTGATCCCAGCAGGTTTAATCCCAGGTTCTTACCTGACTTGTCTTGCTGGGAAGCCTGTGCTTGTCAGTCTGCCAGCTGTGAAGCTCTGCAGAGACAAAACGCTGAGCAGGAATTGATAGTCCTGATCTGCGACAGTAGACCTCTAGCTGGATACTCAGCCCAGCCATCTATGGAGTGTTGCAGCTGCAGGCCCAGAAGAGAGACCCCAGATTGCACAGTCCCTGGTTCTTAGGATATCTGTGTTTCTGTGAATTTCTCTTAACCTGAGAACTGTTAAGAAGGATGATGCCTCTGATGCCTCTACCTGTAGAAGTCAAGCTCTTCAGGGAATCATTCTGATTCCTTTCCTGTTTGCAGAGATCTGGTTTCTTCTGCTTTTAGGATCTGAAATGTGCTCTCTAGAAATAATATAGAACTCATAGGAGCTTGAACTTTGCCTTTAATGCTTGTCTCAGCAGTTGTGCTATGAGGGGTTCATTCAGATACTGCTTGCTGCCCCTGACAGTGGCAAGCTATCGGGATCTCTGAGAGAACAAATTCTCTGGGAGAATGTCTGTTCAGGTCTAACCTCATGTGTTTAGGCATGCAGGAATGGGAAGCAGGATAGAGCTCCTATAATAACTCTGCTGCTGTACCTGCCAGAATGGTGTCCTTCCTGTAATTTAAAGCCTTGAAATGTCTCTTTGGAAAAGGAGTGGCCCGCAGCTTGCTTTGTCTATGCAAAGTGATGCTTTGGAGGATGCCACATTTTTTGGGGGGGCAGGAGCAAGTGCATTATTGTGGATTGTCTGCAATAGTGTGTATGCTTCTAGCTTGAGAAGCCTGCAAAGGTTTCAGTGCCTTTCTTTGCATCCAAGAGTACTTCAAAATGAGGTGAAATCACTCCTTGCTGTTTGAGCAATAGAGGTGTTGTATTGCCAATGGGCATGAAGCTTTGTGCTGAGACTCCCATAGGAAAATAATTGAAATTTATTAGGGAAATAAGGGAATTTTGTTAAATATCTGAAATACTGAAGGTACATCTGAAAATCAAATATACAAAAAAGATCCACCACATACATGAATTGCTAGCAAATGTTGTTACATCTTGACTAAGTGGCTCATATGTTTAGGTTAGATATATGGAAGAAGTTCTTTATTGTGAGGGTGGTGAGGCACTAGAATGGGTTGCCCAGGGAAGCTGTGAATGCTCCAACCCTGGAAGTGTTCAAGGTCAGGTTGGACAGAGCCTTGGGTGCCATGGTTTAGTGTGAGGTGTCCCTGCCCATGCAGGGGGTTGGAACTAGATGATCTTAAGAACCTTTCCAACCCAGACAATTCTATGATTCTATGTTCTTTAGGATGTGTGTGTGTGTTCGTTTACTTTGGCTACAGTGGGCTCCTGGAGTTTGCTGTAGGCAGTTGCTGTTGTCCATAGAGTCATCTCTGTAAATTCTCTTTTGGCTTTAGGGTGCTATCAAGATGCCTCTGTCTACAGTGGCGTATCCTTAGCTTAATGATTAGTGGCACAAGGTTGCTCAAGATAGAAAGTCACAAAACTCCTCTGCTCCATTTTTATCTGTTGAGGTTATTTTTGTTGCTGGTTTGCTTTTAAGTGGTGGAAGGATGATTGGGAGCATCATCCTGGCTGCTGCTTGACAACGCTTCTTTTGCATTCTGAGAGACTCTGGTTTGTGCTGAGCCAGCACTGGGCTTCAATTCCAGCCACGAGGAGGAAATTGTCTAAGACTTGTGTATCAGTCACCCTGCAGGCAAGAGTTTGTTGCCTGTTTGTCCAAGGACATGTATGTGCTAGTGTATGCTGAGGAAAGCTACCAGCAGCATCACAGTGGTGGAATAGCTGAAGTTCAGTGCGTATGAGAACCCGTTAGGTCACCCCCCCACTGCTCCCGGGAGCAGATGTCTTTAGCTTAGACCTGTGAGTAGCTCTGTGATAGTTCTTCCCCTCATTCACCTCTTGTGAGACTGCATCTGAAGTTCTGCTGTCTTGTCCTGGGCTTCTTACTGCAAGAAGGTGTGGATGTGGCGGGTGTAAGACCATAAAGGGGCAGTGGAGGAGGGTGAGGGCTGGAGTACACAACCTTGGAGGAGAAGGTGGGAGAGCAGGGCTTGTTCAGCTCAGAAGCTCTGGGGAGTGGAAACCTTTATACTGTTCAGCCACCTAAATGGGAGGTTACAGAGAAGACAAATCAGTATAGGCAGGATCTTTTTAACAGTAGTAACAGTTGTACTGTTCCAGCTAAATACTAATAGGCAGTATGTCATTTTTTTTGCCTTGGCAGACAAGGTGGAACAAGATCAACCTGCTTGTTTCTGGAAGCCTTTTATATGTGGGAGTAAGGTTGTTTTTAGTAGTTAGTATTCTCAGTTCAGAATGCAGCATCAAGATGGCTTAGCAGAGAACTTATAGTGGGTTTGTCTGGCATATAATAAGGTTTTGTCTCACTCACAGTTGCCTTCCTCAGTTGATAATGTTTCAATTGCTCTATGTTCCCTTAAATATCACATAATGTCAGTCACTCTACAGAACACTGTGCTTTGGAGAAGCAAACACCAGCAATTGCCAAAGCCACTGGTATTAGGTTGCCCTCCTGTGCATGAGAGCGTCTTGCATGCCATATTCCTCACTATAGGATAGGCAAAGTTCCATGCTGTGGGTGCACCTGGTGCTTTGCAAGGGTAGTTCATGGAACAATTGGGTCCTCTCTGGAGTAGCCAGACATGACCAGATGAATGTGAAATATCATCTGGGCAGTCATTAGTGAACGCAAGCTCTCTGCTCACACTGCTTTCCTTACTGCTTGACAGCATCATTAATCCACATTTGCTAATTAACAGATCAGGCAGTCCTCTCTTCCTCTCGGTATCCTGCAGAAAAAGGAGCTTTCCAAAGAGAAGGGGCAGAGGAGCAGAAACATGAAGCCCTGTGACCTGGACATCACTGATTTGGCATCCTGGCTTTTCTGACATGAGTATGTAGATTTGCTGATTGGAGGGTGTCAAGGTGTTTCTCCTAGGGCAGGGCGAAAAAGCCAAATGGAAATAAACCCCTGGATGGAGACAGGAACATTCCTGGTGCTGAGTTTTGGGCTACCTGTGGTGCATTTGGCACTGTTGAATTTAGAATGGGAAATACTGCATCCCTATGCTCCCTGGCATCATTTTATTTCCTGAGGTTGCCTGTGAAGTGGCCAGTTCATTCCTTATTCTTTGACTAACCCTGCTTTTCTGAAGTTGCATGCAGTGGAGATACAATACTAACACCTTCCATGCCTTTCCAGGGTCACAATGCACCGGCCTGTTTAGCACCACTGTGCTGGGAGGCTCCTCCAGTGCCCCCAACCTCCAGGACTACGCTCGCAGCCATGGCAAAAAGTTTGCCAGCAGCCTGACATACAAAGACGGTATGTGTGTCCCTGTGCAGCAGTGGTTAATCTGTGGACTTTGGTGTCTCAGGATGCTACTGAGGCAAAGACAGACTGCTGAGAAGAATGACAGTAGAACGTGCATATTCATCACATCTACAGTAATGCATTTTATCATATCCCAAGAAATTGTGATTCTTGGTAGGACAAGACAGGAGCTGTTATTGTGTGAGGAGTTTTATGCTGATGTATGGTATTATAACTCAGGGTTCCCAGCATCTGAATGGATGTAAAATTATCTGTCCCCTCTTATTCTTCGTATTAGTTCTAACAAATGGTATTGTAGTCAATACTTTACAGAGTCTGAGTGCCTTTCTTACTGGAATCATAACAAACACTGGCACTGGTGGATTACAAGGTGGGAAGATTATTAATTTGGAGCCTTTGGGAAAAGCAGGAGATTGGTTCATTTGGATTTTTGTCCAGCTTTGAGGAAAGAAAAATGGCCTAGATGATCAGGGCAGAAAGCTGCTATCCAGTCTCAGAGCTATTGGAACCTCATAAATGCTGTTGTATTGAGACCATTACATATACTGGCTTTGTGTGCAGCTTTTCACTGTGTAAGAAAAAACTGTGTTGCTTCTCTCCTTTGCATGGAGCTCCCTAGCACACACCAGGCTGGGAGTGATAGAGACAGGAAGGGTAAACTGGGAGGGTTTTAAACCCTGCTGTAGCAGTCAGAGCTGCTCAAGGCAGCAAGTGCTGGCTCAGAGGTCCCAGAATAAGCTCATGGTGTTTGACACAAGACAAGGGTGTGAATACCAGGAGAGCTGCTGAAAAGGTCAGCGAGGGCTCTGACTGCTTTCCTTCCATAACTGCAAGCAGCGTGAATCCAAGGCAGCAGTAGTTCTCAGGGAAGAGCATCAAAGACTGCTTGCTCTATCCCCAGATGGGAACAGCAGATCCTGCTCAGTCCTGGTGCTGTGCTGCCTGTCTCTGTAGGCTGTGCGGTAGGAGTGTACCTGCAGCTGGCTACTCGTGTTTAAGGTCCAGAGCAGAGTCCTGCTGCATTAGCCTGAATTCAGTGCCAAGGTCTCTGCATGCCAGGACACAGTTGCACCTTCCAGTACTTAACGGGCAGACTGATTTAGCTAGTGTGTGGCTAACACAGCCCAGAATTACTCATCTGGATGTTACACTTCTTTCTTCATGTTTGTTAGTGTGCTGTGGCACTCTGTGCTAGCAGCACCTTGCTGCAGTAAGAGCAATTGTGAGGAAGAAGCAGGGGTCTTGGAAAACCAAGTAGGAGGCAAAAGGGTGTTTAGCTTCCAGAGAAGGTAGTTTGGAATGTGGAAAAGGCCTCCATCTGCATGTTCCTGCTTAAATGAACACCAATGAAAGGCTGAACAACAGCATTTAAGCCAAACATCACTAGAGCTGAATAAAGTAACATAGCAGCTATAGCAGGAGCACACTTGTATCAAGGCCTTTTTCAATCATCAGGCTAGTAATGTTTAAAATCCTTCAGATTCTGGAGCACATCTTTGCATGATAATTTTTTCCCATGGCTGTGATGCTTCAAGGCGTAGTGCATGGCTTATAGCACTTCATCAGAGACATGCTCAAGTGAAGTTAACATGCTCCTTATGTCTGAAGTCCTTTTTACTGGGGTCTGGAAGAGGGCTAAGGATCACTTCAGTGGAGAGTTGTGTCCCAGCCTCAGCTGATGGTTGTGATTTGAAGCTGACTCATCTGAAGGCAGGGATCCAGTATACTGTGTTGCAGTACCATTTAACTTGATGTGCTGTAAAGGCAAGGGGGAGATGTGGGGTAGGATGGCGGTGGTTACCAGCTGGCTGCCGCAGCTCCAGGACTAGGGTACTTCTAAGGGATTGCATGTGTAGAGAAGATCGCTGTGCTCTGTTTGTTGAGTTTGAGGAGGGAAAAACAGTTTTATGGCTGTTATACTGGCAAAGAAAATTGCAAGTTTGAGAGTTGGTTTAAATATGTTATTTGGCAAAGTCAGTGGATGTAGCTAGAGAAGCACAATGTGGGTGTGGAGCATAAATTGATTTGTGTATCTTTAGGAGTGTGTGCAGGGATAGGTGTAAGGACCCTACTGACTAGGTGGAATGGACACATGGAACATGAAAGAGAAATCAAAGTATTTTTGAATATTTCCTAAAAGTTCCCAAATAGCAGCAAAAGATATGACTGGCTGGGGTCTCATCAAATCCTACATCCAGAGGGTCTGACCTAGGGCATTCTTTTTCCCATGATAGCTGAGGAATTTCCAAAGTGGGAATAAACTGAAGTTGTCTGCATTTTGGTGGGTTTTTTTTTCTTTGGTGCATATGGAGACTAATCCATGTCTTCTAAGGCTCATCTGTTTGCATCCCATTAGCTGCATAGAATCTTTCCTTGCACTGTCTTTCTGATGGGTGATTTCTATGCGAGAGCTTGGCCTGGCCTGGAATATGGCCAGGAGAAGCCTGAGGACCACTCAAACAGTGTATCCCTAATCCTCTTAGTACTGAAATGCTTTGAGCAGCAGAACTGTAGAGGCATGTTTTCAGGGGTCTTCTCTTTGTTCCCTAATTCGTTGGTTGATTTACCTGTGAAGGCATGAATAGCTCTATTAGCTTACACTGCAAGGGTGTTTGAGCTGCACTTGGCTATGCCAGAGCTCTTCAGTTCCTTTGCAAAATGATTGTCATTTTCCTTGGGCAGAGGTGAATCCTGAGAGCTGTCCTCCTGTGCTGCTGCTTGCTTGGCCATGTGCTCCTGTGGCTGTGAGCATGGCCTCACTGCTTCTCACCCTGGGCCGAGCCTGAGTTGCTCTCAGGACGGCTGCAGATAGGGTGGGTAGGTGTGAGATGCTGTCGGTGATGGAGAGAATGTGGCTGAGGTTTTGTGGTGTCAAGAGGGACTCTGCGGGGCAGTGCAAGGTCAGTGGGGAGCCAGCAGAGCACAAGGAAGCCAAGAGGTTCAGTCAGACCTGCAGTTCAGGAGTGCCTGGGCTGCCACAGCAGTGGCAATGGGAGCACATTGTCGGGGTGAAGCAGCAGGTCAACCTCAAAGGGTAGTTGCAAGCATATGAAGGTTGGGGAATCCTTAGAAGCAGGCTGTTAACTGAGATGATCTGTTTTTATTTCCTCAGAGCTCTTGTCTATGCCAGCCGTAAAACGATTTTCTGTGTCGTTTGCAAAGCATCCGACTAATGGTACGTTTGCTTCCTTGATTTGACGTTCCCTCACACTCCTAACCCCACACTCACGTTACATTCTCTCTGCACATAGTCTCCTCTCAGCACTCTTGTGGTTTTATTGTGTCTGTACCTGGTGTCCGAACATGCTTCACCTTCCCCCATTGTCTCGCTGTGACTAACGTGTTCATTCATCCTCTGTGATGGCTCAGTTGTTCCTCTGCTGTCCCCCAAGGCATTTGTGTACCCAGTGAAAAAGCAAGAGCAGTGGCTCTGAGAATGGACTCCTAAAGCAGCCCTTAGTTCCACTGCTGACATTAAGGCCTTCTTCCATGCTCCCTTTCGGTGGGGTGGGGGTCGGGGTGGGATGCCATTGGATTTGGTGGGAGGGGGGGATATCCACTCTGTATCCTAAAAGCTTCAGCAACTTGGGTCCTTGGTTTTTACACTGCAGATCTGCAGAACCAAAGCAAGGATAGCCTGAGGCTACTCGTGTGTCAAACGGAGGAGTGCAGCCTAGGGTGGGGGAGAAGGAAGTGCTGACAGCCTTCCCCACGCATGGTGCTCCTCAGCACAGTCATACTGGTAACCTCATGGCCTCCTATCTGTAAACCTATCTGTTCGGTGGGCCCTCTGTCACTGCAGTCGTGGTGATGTTGGTGGGAGTAGGCTCACCTTTCCCAGAGATGCTGTCCTGGGAATGGTGTCTTTCCAGAGCTTTCACTTGTCTGCTGTTGGTGGACAGTGCTGGCTCGGGCCTGACGCCTTCCTAAGGTAGGAGAAGATGGGCTTCGTGCCACCGGGAGAGGCAACCTGCTGCACTCCTGGCATGCTGGTAGCTGTGGAAAGGCTTGGTAAAGGATGTCTGACAGTGCTTCTGTTGACTCCCTGTCTCTGCTTCATATTGCTACTAACCCAACACCTGAACTGTGAGTCTTCTGAGGTTAAAGACCGCTAGCTCTGTTGTAGCAGATGTCTTGCACTAGTGTTTGCTATCTGAATCTTGCACAGAAACTCTTGACAAGGTTTGCTTCACAGCACCACTCCTACCTCATGACTGCTGCTGGTGAATCAAAGCAGATCACAGAAAGATGCCAGGTTAAATATTTCTGTCTTATGCGATCAAGGCTGCTTCTGCAATCTTGTTGCTTAGTAAATATGAAGATACTCTGCTCTGCATGATCTGGAAGATGAAAGAAGTTCAGAAGACTGTTCCAAAGACCAAAGTTTTGGGAAAGATGAAAGGGGAAAGGGCGGCTAAATTGTGACTTCATTGTTTCGAATAACTGAAGGGAATCTATTTTCTGTGTTTGCTTGGTTTTGTTTATCCCAGATTGGCCAACTGCTCAATTTGTTTGTGTGTCTGGATACCGTCTGGGCTCACGTGATGTGTGTCAGCAGGATGTGTTGTTCTATCTTGCCAGCAAAACTTGTCCCAGGCACTGGTCTTTCCTAAGCCACACTGCACAGCAAATGCATCCCCCCCAAACAGGATAAATTGAAACTGAACATGAGGTTTTGCCCAAGTGGCAACATGCTCCATAATCAAGAAAGGAAAGGCAGAGATCCAGCAGGTGTGAGCTTGAAGGCATACTTGGTGTATTTGGTTTAGGCTTGGCACTGGTTTTGGCAGGAAGGGTGTTTAGCCACATGAACCACACGCCTGAAGATGCAAAAGCTATTCACAGCTCTGACTCTGGCTTTTGTTTCTGAAGAGCTGCCTCTGTGTGGTGAAATGTGATGGGTGAACCTGAGCAGAGGCCAAGATGTCACAGTGTCAGGGCCAAATGGTTTGTGCTCTTGTCTTGTGAGTCTTGGGAGCGTGACCTGGGGCTGTGTACATCAGGAGACATGCCTGCATGCTAGTGTCTTGTCTGCCATGCAAAGATAGCACAGAAGATTCCACAGGGCTGTTCCGAGTGTCTGGAGCGGTGAGGTCAGCACTTCTGTGCCCCTTCTGTTCTAACACGCCCTGAGCACTCTGCTTTCAGTCAGACCCTGGGCCGTTTGCTCTCTTCGTGTGCTGAGGTTGCGTTGGATGCAGGACTGGAACACTCTGTTTGCAGTTTGGATTTCTTGTCTCAGCTGTGGGAGGGTGAGCGCGGGCCTGACCTTCTTATGGAGCCAAACCTGAGCTGTGTTGGATTTGGAACCTGTCCTAAAATGTATTCGCTTGTCAGACTGCCACTTCCAAAGATGACACCTCGCTGCTCAGGGCCTGCCCCGGCGCTGGAGCTGCGTGTGGCAAAGCATGGGCCGGGTGGGAGCCTGGCCTGCTGCAGCGTGACTGGGGGTATGTAGATCCAAGGGTCTTCCTGGCCTGCTTGCTGCGGGAGGGACTGGGCTGCAGTGTGTGGTGCGGGTCGTTCCCACCCCGCAGCCCTGGTGCTGGCAGCCCCATGCCCACAGCTCTGCCCACAGTTTCTCTGTCCCCTCTCACTCTCTATGGCCCCTTTCCTCCAGATACATTTGAGCACCTCCACGTTGCCCAGTTGCTGCGCCGTTTTTCCTCTGACTGTGCCACGAGCCGGAACATCTCCCTGGATGCCGCTCTAGCCCATCACCTCCAGCACTGCTCCTACCACCTGCGCCTCTTCAGGAGCTGGCTGATCTCAGGGCAGGAGGACTTGGAGTGTCTTTACGGTACTGCACGCTGCAGCTGCCTTGGTCCCTTGCTCTTGGAGCTGAGCGGGGACCAGTGCTTGAGAATGCAAAGTATGCTTTGCTTCTAAAAAAAGGAAAGCATTTCCCTCACTGCATCCCTTACATCTCTGGGCTGCTGCTGCAGCAAGCTGTGTGGGCTGTTGTACCTGGCAGTTTTGGAGCCTTAGGCAGTAGCCTTTCCACATGGAGCCAGTGCTCTTTGTGTGGCTGTAAACTGTGTTCTTTCCATCTCTGGCAATTGTTCGTTGCCTTCTTCCTTTAGCCAGGGTAAGCCCTTCAGCTTCCTTCAGGTTAGACACTGAGCAAGTACTGGTGTGATACCAGGCTGACATGATAGCTCTGCGCAGGTCTCGGTGGGGTACCACAGGGTGCCCCATTATTAGCAGAGGAACCGAAGTGAATAGTAGGACTGTGGGGAGGAAGAGGCTCAAGGAGGTGCTGCAGCTGGTCACATGCAGAGTGAACTTGCTGTGGGAATTTTGGGGAAGCGAGTGCTTGTGGGATTGTGTTGTTTCTAGAGAAACAGAGTTAAGAGAGGGTAGAAACTGAGCTTCTGCGTGGCTGCATTGCATGGCATCTGTTCTGCCTGGTAGGAACTTTGCAGTGTGTCTTGTCTCTGGTGGGAAGAGGTAGGCGGTTTCAGCATTGAATCTAGCTGTTTCAGATCACAGCTTGCTGCTGTTTCTCTGGTGTTTTTCAGCCTCTGGCATGGATGGAAAGTCTGATGCATTGAGGTCTCAGTGCTTCTAAGACAAGCAGGAAGATTCCTGCCTCAGAGAGGCAGCTACCTAAGGCTGGCTGTTAACATTTACCTGGCACCATAAAACCTGCTTGGTGCATGTGGCTTGCTGCGCTGTGTGATGTGATGCATGGACCTCCTTTTTCATTCAGATCCATAGGTGTAAGGGGCAGAGGCAGTGCAGCTTTCCATGAAGTGAAGCAGCAGGATCAAGTGTTTTCAGAGCCTGAAAAAGGAGATTTTTTCTTACACAGTCTGTTTTTCTCTCAATATGGCCCTTTCTGTCAAGTTGACAATTTGGAAATGGCAGTTGCTTTCCATATATAATTAGGACAATCCTTGGTCTCCTAGCAACAAATACTAAAGAGGAGCAAAGTTGCTTCAAGGGGAGAGATGCTGGGACACAGCAGACTGCTTCAAAGCCAAGGCTGAGCTTCTCTTGTGAGCTCCACTGGGAGAAGAAACGGACTCGGGGCTTTGAGCAGCAATCTGCCATGTACTGAGCGTGGAGCTGGGTTGTGCAGCCTGCCCCAGTGCAGCCAAACGCCCCAGCTGAGTACCTCAGCATGGCAGGCTTCCCGTGTGGGAATCTGATCTCTGCAATCAGCCAGTTCCTTCTTGCTGTTCTCTCAGTCTCATCAAGCTCACAGCTAATTAGAATGCTTGGGATTCCTGCTGGGGCTCTTCTCGGACCAGGGGTTTCTCTGGTCTCTGTAGCTGACAGCCCAGCTTCTCCTCCTTGTGAAAACTGCCTACTCCTAACCATTCTTTCTTAGCTTTCAACTGTACTTCTATCCATACAAAGCAAGCATGAATTAAATGATAGAATCTGGGAGTTAATAGTGTAAGTTGGCATCCATAGTTGGAAAGGTCATCAGTAGAGCTTGGAAGCAATCTCTGGAAACCCGTGCTTTTCTATGTGGGAAAAAGAAGAGTGTGAAGTAAGTCCCTGTGGGTAATGAATTACAATGCTACTGAAGCCAGAGGTCAGCTGTGGAGGAGCAGAGGACAGCCCTGTGGTAGGGAGCGGGCAGTAAACCACCCGGTGATGTTCCATGTAAATAAATGTACATGACAAAGGGAAACCGCCCCAAGTTCAGACATAAAGCTGGGGGCTCTGATCTGACCATCACCACTTGGGATGATGTGGAAAAGGTAGAAATTTGCAGTCTGGGAAAGATGCTTGTGGCAGTGGTTGGAGTGCTCTGGAGAGGGGTGGTGGGGGATCCGAGTTCAGTGTCTGCTCCAGTGCAGGAGCCGGGAGGTTTCTAATGAGTTGAGTAGGCGCAGCTTCAGGCAGAAGTGGTTTTTCTCACACTGAGTTGAAACTCCTCACCATGGTACATGCGGGTGTCAGGAGCTTAGCTGAGTTCAAGGGGAGACCAGAGAATATGGAAAAGGCACATCAGGTTCAGAGCAATTCTGAGCCACAGGTCAGTGGGGTTTGAGGGATTGCTTGGGGGGGAGAGTCACTGCCTGCTGGAGTCTCCTAGGAATCTAGGATTGCCTGGTTTTGATGGAAGATGTGAGGCAGGTGCAGGTCTCCGATTGCTTTATAAAGTATAGCATGCTAGATGGTTGCTGCACCAGGGTGCTCGTACCCAAATCACCTTCTTACTGCTCTTAGGGAGTGCTGTGTGTTGGTACTGGGCAGCTCTGAAACAGTGTTACTGCAAGGGGAAATTCACTCCCTCCTTGAACCTCTGGAAGACTTCATGAGCCTGCTTGCACTGAGCAGATTTTGTGACAGCGTGCGCTTGCCAAGAACATGGTCTGGGGCGAGGAGTTGAAACGGGAGCGCAGTTGGCTCGGCCATAACCCGAGTGGACCTTCAGCTTTGGCATCAGTGTGCCTGGCAGAGGTGAAACAGGACTTGCAGTCCCCGACAGGAGCTGTACCCCGGTGCTCCTGCCTGCAGAGTGGCTCTTCCGGCAGTGCCGTTCTCTCTGCCGCTGTGTCAGGATGCTGCTGCACTATCGATTCAGGGTGGAGAGTCTCCCATAGCTGCTCCCCCACATCACACGCAGCCACCTTGGACATCCAAGATAACATACTTGGCAGACTCCTCTGCCTGGTCTAGCTTAAGGTTTTTCCCATAACCAAGTCTTGTCTTCTTTAGTCTAACAGATGATTTCTTCCTATTTTACTGAACAAAAGTTCTGGGGACATAACCACGCTGTGCTCCTCACCTGGAGAAGATTACAGTGGACTTTGGGATTCATTTTTATCTACTCTGGTCAGCAGATCCATGCCACATGCCTCCCCCTCCAGGGCAGACCCCACTCTGAAGGGAGCAGATTGCCCTCTGCATTTTAATGCAGTCAGTGTAGTCAAACCTGAACAAAATGAAAAATGAAACTCATTCCTCTGTGGGCTGCTGTATGACTTTGGTACAAAATGAATGGAATTCTGTCTCATTTCTTATGCTTTTGTCAGCATCACAGACTCCTGCCCTGCAGGCCCCAGGAAAAGGCTTTGGGAAGCATCCGCAGTGGCCAGGCATTTGGCACTGGGGACCTGTCCAGCTGGAAAGGCTCCTGTGGTTTGCACTCGTGCTTTATTTTTGTTGCCCTTCCCAAAGATGTGGGTTCTTTGTTAATCATGTGTGGTGCAGCAGTGGCCAGAGCTGCTGTGATGCATGTAAGGATTACAGTCTGTACTGGTAACTTCTGCTGTGGCTCTGCTGTGGTGCAGGATGCTGCCTCTCCCAGCAGCTAGGCAGGTAAGGGAGGTGTGTGGGGAAGTGGGCTGCCGTGCACAGATGAGAGGGATTCCTCAAAAATAGTCTTGCTTCAGCTTGAGAAGGAAAACTTTTGCTTTTTCCTCCAATTGCTTCAGACCAGTCAAGTGCCACAGTGCTGAGCTGTGTGAGCAGGCATCACCCCCTCAGGGTACAGGTATACCCCTTCACATCAGCAGTGTTGTCAGTGTCACATGTTTGCTTTTTGCTCTTTTTGCTAAAGGAGTGCCCAATCACTTGGATCCCCATCAGTGCCTCCAGTGTATCTTCCACCTATGTTGCTTTGCCCTGTGTTGTAGTAAAACTTCTTCCCTTTTCCTCTGGAGACCCCAACAGCTGAGCCAACTTTGGTCCCTCTTAAAACAGATTCTGTTGTGAAATGACATCAGCCTCATACTGTGGTGCTCCACAACCATCTCCACACAGCAAGGTGTTAAGTCTTGTCTTTTATCTCACTCTCCCAGAATGCCCAGGAGAAAATAATGAACAGTTACTCTTCCTTTTTCAGCACATGCACTCTAAGGATTCTCAGCAAGGGACAAAAGAGTATGGTATTTTTCCTGTGTCTTATATTTCTTCATCCTAGCCAAGGATTTGTTACCCTTCCTGCCTTAAATTGATGTTTGTAGGCCCTTTGTGGCATAGGTAAACCTCCCTGGACTGCCTGGAGGGTTCTTTATCTCCAGTAGCTGTTACAGCAGTGTCTCTGCAGCACTGCGACCTGGTGATGATCTGGTCTGCAGCCTCCTCATACTGCATGTGGCTTTGCTCATCTGCTGGCTCATGCTCCTTGCCTCTTGCAGAACTGGGTTAGATGAGCAGACTGGAGCAGAGACTTTCCTGGAGGTGACTGGAACAGTGACCACACTTAGCAGATAATCTAGGCTGGTTTACGTCTTCCCCTTAGGTGCTGTCAAGCTGTAGAGATTAGTTACAGCCTCCCAGTGTGCTGGGCAGCAATCCTGACACAGTAGAGCATCAAGAGCTGTTGTACTTGCATTTCAAAGTAATTTTCCTTCTCTGTAGGAGACCCAATTCCTTCCCAGGGTCTTTCTGAGCTCCTCAGTTGAGCTAGGAAGTTACAGAATAGGAAGCCTAAGCTCAAGTTTACAGGCCTTTAAACTCAAGAGCTACAGAGCAGGAGGAGGCCTCATTCCCATATTCTCAGAGACTCATTTAATTCTTCCTTGCCCCTCTGATACTTTCAGGTTGGCTTGGTTCCACAAAACCTTGCCAAGAAGCTTGGATGAAGAGGAAGATGCTTTGCAATAACACTCCTCTGGCTTGAGCAGCAAAGAGTTTGCTGTGAATGGCTGTGATGCAGCAGAGCTCTGAGCAAGTGTCTTAAATGTTGAGATACATATTTCTACTAATTCTGGGTTTGCTGGCAGTGAAGTCTTGTTAAGGGGACAAATGCTTCAGACATTGCCCATCCCTTACTGGGAATGCAGGCTGTGAGGTGCGAGTGGAGGCTCTGCTGTTCCCTGCCTCTGTAGCAGCCTGCGCTGCCTTGCTGAGGGGATGAGGGGGGCTGTGCCAGGCTGGGCCGAGGTGGTGGGTCCTCCTGTGGATGTTCTGTGGACTTCTCTCGAATCCTGTTTTCCTTCTGTAAAGCACGGGCTCTGTTCTAAGTTCTCCAACATGACCATATAGTTTAGCAAAAGGGTCACAGGCTTTGCAGCAAACACGGCTGCTGCTAAGATACGTTTCTTCCTCTTCCCCTCCTTCTGCGTGTGCCTGGACGCTTGCTTTCAGGTCTGTTACTGCATGTGGTTGCCTAGCGGTGATTTTCTCGGCCTGGAAGAGGTGTCCTTAGGCCTGAGTGTGCCTGTTTGATTCACAGACTGCCCAGCTCCTTCAGCTATGAGTGGTCCTGCATGGATTTAGGTTGCTGTTTGCTCTATTCATTTTCTGATTGGGTTTCTTTCCAGGTTTTGAAGGCTGTTCCATGGTTCCCACCATTTATCCCCTGGAGACCCTGCACAACTCCCTCTCTTTGCGACAGGTCAACGAGTTCCTGACAGCTGTGTGCAGGAGCTGCAGTGAGTCGCATGTCCAGTCTACTGCAGGTACTGGTGAGGTGGGCTTGTCTCTGGGTGCGCCAGAACAGAGTTGAGGCAAGGAGAGCGTTTGGTCCTCTGCGTTAATGGGACAGATCAGCCTGACAGGACTGGCAACAAAACAAACCACCCTGTTCTAGAGTGTTCTAGCCCAGGAGTGAGCGGTGGGATCCAGCTCACAGCCATCCGAGGCCACTTACTTGAGAGCCAAGTAATCGGTCAGGTCTGTCTGTAGCTGATAAGTTCAGTGACATGGATACAAACCCCAGCTTTGGAAATCTTTGCCTCAGATTCCCAGGAGCTGATGGACAGGCGTGGCTCTGAATCTGCACTGTTCTTGAGCCCTTCTGGGAGTGCCTGCTTACAGCTGCTGGGCTACAAGCCATTCCTTTACGTCTGTCTGAATATTACTGATCTGTGTGTTTCTTTTCTTGAAGCTTTGTTTGATTCAATGATTGGCAGCCAGATACCAGGAGACCCCTTTATGTCCCAGCGAATCCTGTCATCTTCCTCTTTGCCATTGCGCCAGCGTTCGGATAAGCCCCCTTGGTGTGAGTGTTCCCTTCTTCATCATGGGTCAATGTGATGGTGAGGGAGGGAAGTAAAGGGTACCAAATGGTGGAAGCCAAATATTCGTGCTCAGGGTTTCTATGCTCTGCCCTTGAAGGAACAGAAACAGAAAAGGGAAATAGGTAAAAGGGAAAGCAGTCATACTTTCCAAAGAAAGATGCAAAAAGGGACTCTGTAATATTGTATATCCTGGGGACACGTGCTGTTGGATGGATGCTGTCACTCCAGACATCCTCTGCTTTGTGCACTAGGATATAGAGGGCCTGAATGCACCTCATTTTCATTTCCAGTTTTGTGATACTCAGTGGCATATGGCCAGCTCAGTGTTGGCGCATGGAAATACCTTTTCATAACCAGCCACATCCATGCCTCACCCAGAGCTCCATGCAGACAGCCCATCATTTAGTTCTTCACTTACAAGCTTTTCTGCAGCCCCTGGGCCTCATGTGTCACAGTCTCAGCAGAGCTGGTGACTGTTGTTAGCTCCCTTTGCAGATCTGACTGGAACTCGAATGGTAAAGGATTAGCCAGCAGTTGAACCGTGAATGTCTTAATAACACAAGTCAAGGTTGCCACTGAAGGAGCAATCCTTCTCTTCTCCTGGCTGTACCCTCTTTGTGCCAGGAGTAGAGAGTGTATGTGTGGGCAGCAAGGTCAGGGAACTGATCTGACTGGAAACAGTTGTTTAATCCTCCTCCCTTTATTGGATTAGATGTAATCTAGATCTGTTCTCTAGTTTTGCTCCTTGTACAGTATAAGGCAAGAATAAGCATTGGTAGAGAATCTGTACTTCTTCCAGTGGTGACTTGAGCTTAGCATGCAGGGGTTGTGTGCTTGGGTTTTCCTCGGCCGAGCTGCCAGAAGTACAGGCAGGGGCAGCTGCAGGCCCCGGCCAGGTTGCATGGCACATAGACTACCCTCACCTACTTGCTATAGCACTGTGGGACTGCAACAGCTTGGGTCTGCCCAGGCTTTGGGCTGGGGAGATGTCAGCTAATTTTTGAAGATTTTTCTTCCTCTTTGCAGACAGCAGTGGCCCCTCCAGCACAGTCTCCAGTGCAGGCCCATCCTCCCCAACCTCTGTGGACAACTGTGCTCGCTTCAGCTTCAGTGAGAAACTTTGCATCAGTCCCCCCAAAAGCGAGGAACAGCTGAATAGCCAGTCCCCTGAGCAAGAAGAGGGACAGCCGCCAGGCAGCGGGCTTGACGTGGAGGTGGAGGTGTCTGGGTTGTTGGAGCCAAGTGCCCCAGAGACCCTCACCTGGAATAAGGGCCCAGAGCCAGGCAGGGTCCTGGAGCTGTGTGAGAAGGAGCTGGCGGAGGAGGACTCTAACCCAGAGAAGAGCACGGTGGAGCTGGATGAAGAAGAATCAGCTGGGGAAATGTTAGAACCAAGTAACACAGGGAACCCAGAGTGTGGTGCAGGGCCTGATGTAAGGCTGGCTGGGGAGAGTGTGAAGTCAGGTGAGGGGTGTGTAGGGGGAATGACTGGCCTGGGTCAGTCAGGGCTGTCTAAGGAGGGCTTGGTGCCCTGTGAAGAGGAGCTGCTGGGCGAGGTTCTGGACCCAGAGCATGTGGGCAAGGAGCCGCTGGGGGACAGTGCTGTGCCAGGCCAGGGGCAGCCCCTGCCTCCTGAGAGAAGTGTGGAAGAGCTGCAGCTGCAGTGTCGGGGGAATCAGCAGAATTAGTGGCTCACCGGATAGCAAACTGCAAGCGCTTCTAGCCTGGAGGCAGCCCAGTTTCCTGCACAGCACCTCATGCGGCTGGCTCTCTACAGCACAGAACAAGCCATGTCCCAAGGCCACAGGACTTTGGGGTTTGAAAGAGTCTGCTCTGCTCCTCCACAAGCGAGCTCTTTGCCATTTGGCATGAGACGATGCCTCTCTGCCTTGTTAAGTGAACAACAAATGCATGGCACCTCTGTGGAACGGGGACATGGGGCTGCACTGTGTCCCAAGGGGACAGCAGAGTTAAAGGATGGGTGCAGCCAAGGCTTTTGGGGTGGTAAGTCCAAAGGGGACAGATGCTCCCTTGAGATTTTTTGGCCCATAGGCTACAGAGAAAGGCAGTCTGGGCCCAGAGCAATCAGATCCATCACAACCACCAGCCTCCTCTCTGTTCCTTCCTTCTTCCTCTCTCAGTTCCCATCACTGGCCACCACCAACAGGTCCAGAGGGTCCATAGCAGGAAGACTAGGAGAAGCAGAAAGCATTCTGAGCGTGGGAAGGAGAGTAGTGAGGGGATGAGGTGCAAAACTGCAAGGAAACATCTCTTTGGTGTAGACTTTGATGTTTTCCCGCTGGGCTGGGGCAGGCAGGCGGGAGCCTGGGCATCCGGCCTGAGAGAGGTGGGCAGGGAGGACACACACGGGTTTTTTCTCGTCCCCAAGGGTCGGGCAGGGCACAGCTCTGAAGTCTTGGTGACAGAAATTTTTAAAAAAACTGCTATTTGAACAAATCAGGATTATTAGAAACCAAGAAGGAGATATCTCTAGTATATATGAGAAGTATTTAATACATATTTATGTAATTGACTTGTGAGCACAAGCCTGAAGGCAAGGTTGATACGGGTGTCCCTGCCGCCTCCTGCGTGCAGGCCAGGGCTGTGCCTCCTGCGCCTCCTGTACTTGTGGACAAGTCTGCGTTTGTCTGTAGCTAGGACCTGTGTTTCTGTGAAGCTGTGCCCAAAGATATCCACGCTGTATTGTGATGATGACGTGTGTTCACAGTAAATTGATGCTGTGGGTCCAACGTCTCTGTCTCTGATGTGGACTTGGGCAGCGGTGCATGTGAAGGAGCGCGCCCTGCTTGTTCTCTGTTGTCCCGGAGGAGGAGCTGTGGCTGAAGCCACCACTGAAGTGAGTGCATAGGCATGGGGCTGTGCTCAAGAAGGCCACACGCCCCTTTTGCTCCACGAAAGACCCGGTCATCCTGGGGGGAGCAGTACTGGCTCCCCAGGTCCCAGGGTGGTTGGTGGTGGAATGCGAACACCGGGTCAGCCTGCTCAGCTCCTTTCTCTCGGTCCACAGCTCGCTGCCATCAGCAAGCACATCCTGCAGCCAGTGTCCTCTTCCTCACACCTCATAACCCCTGCCTGCCAGGCCGGGCACTTCAGAAAGGTCGCGTTCACTGTCACTTGCAGTGCAGTAGCTGAACAGTGCCTGGATTCAGGACCGGCTGCCCTCTCCTGCGGGGCTATGGGAGAAGGGGACCTGCTGCAGGGAAGCCCCCAGGCTTTCATTGGCAACCCTGCCTTAAAGACCTGGAGGAACAGAGGCCTTGGGTGGTGCCACAGACCCCTGCCCGGGAGCTGGCAGCGGGAGCACGGGAGGCAGAGCAGCACCGGGTCCTGTACCCCCCAGGGTCAGTAATGGAGGGAATGACAAAGGGAAGCAGCTCACAGCCACAGCTCCTCTGTGGCTCTGCAGCTTGGTGAGGGACTGGGGCCAAGAGAGGGGCCAGAGGGGTTTTGTGATGAAAAGTACAAACCTCCGTATCCCTAAATTTAAAGGATTTCTGTAAATTCTGCTTGGTGTCTAATTTCAGCTTCTAACTCTTATCTTTTGGTTGCTGGAGTCCTCTAGCCAGAAATTAGCTGCATTGGTACCTTGCACAGTGACAATACTGTGATGTTTGTAGGACCAGAGGGTAACAGGGAGACAGGCTGGTGACTTGTGGCTGGTGGTGCTTGCGCTGTGGAAGCAGAAGTCCTGAACTCAAGGGCAGATATTGTCCTACAGGCAGCTGAGAAGAAAAAAGCTGGGCTGCCCACAGTGATGCAGGAGCAGGGCTCTGGGCTGTAGCTGCTCTCTTGCGTAGAGAGGCCAAGAAGGGATGGTGCCCTTTATTTTAAAAGGGCTGCTTATTGCCTGCCTGTGTCGAGAATTGTCTTTCACGGTGCTCTAATGCTTCAAATGCACATCTGCAGTGTGTTGTGAAATCTGAGCACTGACCATGCTTTCTTAGCAGTGTCTTTACCATGTTTTCTTGGCTTAGCAGCAGGAGTGATTAATCCACAAAGCCCTTTCCAAACAGAAGGGTGGTGTAAGGAAGGGCTGTGACTCACGCGGGGGGGGAAGAAAAGGATGGTTGCAGTTTGTGAGCGCAGCAGCAGAAGCTGGTATTTTTGGCTTAATCTTGCCAAAGCTAGTTCCTGCTCCTCAAATCTATGCTAATGCAGCTTAAGGTGCACTTTCAAATGCCCTTGTGCTGCGTAAGTAGTGATGTGCACAAGTGACTGCTGCATGGTCCTGCGTCTCTTTGCCTGCAGTGGTTGGGGAAGTTTGGATCAGGCTTGTCAAACCCCTGGCAGATGTAATGAAGTAAAACTGAGTTGTTGACAGGGTGTGCAGCAGGAAAACAGCGCAGAGACATGGCCCAGGCCGTGCGGCAGGACAGGCAGCAAGTAGCAACTGTCTGTACCAAGTAGCCAGAGCGCAGCGATGGCCTGCGCGCTGTGCAAAGTGGCAGGCTTTCTCTCAACCAGTCCTTAGAGCTGCAGGAAGGGTCGGGCTGTGCAGCGTGTGCAGGGTTTGGGCTTTGGTGGTTCAAGGTCCGGGCAGCCCTGCATGTTGAAAAAAGACCAAACTCAGTATTGCTGCTTTTGCCTCGGGCACTCCTCTGGTGCACCAGTTGGCAAATACCGAAGGAGCTGATTAAGGGAGGGCCGTGTCATTGTCTTACTGGGACCTGTCTTTGATTATCTGTTCTGCTTTCTCAGAGCCATGCCCCTTCCCCACAAGTTACTAATCCTGGTCTCCCTCCCCAGGTCCTGCACAGCAAGCGACAGACACAGGTGACCAACAGAGGACACCTATGTCTGCCCTTGGTGTGAGGGTCCTATGTGCCTGCTCCTCCTGTGGCCCAGGACTGTTGGGTTCGGTGCCGCTCAGCGGATGGCTGCTCTGTCGCAGGCCACAGGGGGACATAGGCCCAGGAGCTTGAAGGATTGCTGCTTGCCTCTTCAAGTTGCTCTGCAGGAGGATCCTTAGGCTCCCACCTCTGGAAAGGCATGTACAGTCACAGCCTCTCAGTGAGCAGGAGCATGGCCACGTCCATATGCTTGCTTAGCAGGGAAGCAGCTGTGGAAATAGTTCCTGGTTAAGGGTAATGGTTTGCGGTTCCTCCCCTGTCAGCAGCAGTTTGGCAGCTGCCCTGAGCTCTGTGTCACATGCTGCACAAGCTGTGCCGTGCTCCGTGGCCACAATGTCCTCTCTTCTGAAGGGCCGTGGCCCGGTACCTGCTTTCCTTTTGCCTTGCGTTCAGCTGTGCCATTGTGTCTCCCCCTGAGGACACCCCGGCAGGAGCAGAGCTGAGCGGGCAGCACCGCTGCAGCACCGGCAGAGCACAGGGCTGCTGCCCTGCTCAGTAGCTGAAGGGCTGCAGTCAAGTGCCTCCCGCTCCAGCGGTCACCCTGGAGTGCTGCAGAGGTACAGAGGCTGCTGCTGCGATGGGCACTGGCAGCATGGGATGCCCCGCCAATGCCCACAGGCCCTGAGCCAAGTCCCTCCTGCCTTGCCCAGGACCAGAGATGTGTCCGGTCCAAGGAATGCCGGCAGTGCAGGGCCCGGCAGCGGCGCACCGTGGAGCGCGTGAGCAGGAGCTGCAGCGGCAGGACGGGTTGTGCCAGGCTCCGCACCGGAGCACTGGGGGCTGCGTCCTTGGCTGTGGTGCAGGGGGCAGGGAAGGAGGTGGGGGTCCCAGGTAGGCTCCATGCCCCTGTGTCGGTGCAGGGGGGGGTGTTAGTGGCAAAGCCGGGGCTCTCAGCATCCCTGTGTCCATGCAGGGACTCACTCAAAGACCAGCCTGAAACCGCTGGAAGTGTTCTTGTTCGCAGTTAATGTGGCTTTATTATGAATGTGTTGGGCTCCTCTCTCGACAGCAGTTAGTTACAGAGTGTTTCACATGGAAATGAGCAAAAGGACAGAACTTGAGGAACTAAATTCAAAAAGAAACATGATGCTGAAGAAAAGAATCAGGGCTCTGTTCTTAAGACGTTTAGCATAGAAGAAGCTAGGAGCACAGGTTGCCATTTCAATACAGTTAAGACGTTCACTTCTTTAATTATAGGTTTAAAATAGTATTTTGTACCTATTACATACAGGAAGATTACGCGTTGTTGCCCACATGCAGAAACAAGCAAAAGCAGAGTTTAACTCTTTCTCTCTATAGTTTTGTATCACCTCTGGCTCTGGATGGGTTCTGCTGGCTCCCGCAGGCTCAGCAGGGGCAGAATCTTTACAAATTGGCATTTTTACAAGGTTTTTTTTTCCCCGTAGTCTTTTAAGATGGAGGGAGGGAGGGGAAGGAGAAAAGTTGAAGGGAGAAGACGGACACAAAAGACTAAATAAAAAGTGTGGCGCCTCGAGGCAGAAGCAAACTGCCACAGGATAAAGGGGTCCGAGCAGCACGGCTGCAGCGAGCAGCAGCACCGAGCACATGGTTTTCGCTGGAGCATGTGCCAGTGACCACACTCCTGCCTGGAGGACGCAGGCACCTTGCAAAACCTCACTACTACTGCTGCTTAGTCACAATTGCTTCAAGTTTAAAACTGAGAAACATTCATGTGTGGGTCTATCTAAAGTTAGTGCATTAGCTTTACACCTAGCCACGCTTCAGGATCCAGGGAGCCAGTCAAGGAGGGTCACATTCGTTCCTGCACTGCTGGCAGCAGCCCACTGCAGGTGAGCCAGAAGCTCCCCCCCCACCCCAGCAGTGTCCAGGGGCAGCAGGAGCAGCTGTGGTACCACCTGCAGTCTCTTGCCATAACCAGCACTCACGGGCACTGAGCCCATTGGGTTACAGAGAATGACATTTATTCTTCTGGCAGACACACTGTGATTCCATGGTTAGAATGAGTACAGCGCAGGACAGAGATCTGCTGAGTCCCGAGTGAGCTGACATGCTCCTACCAAGGGCTTTGCTGAAGGGCTGGCTGTGGCCAGCCTCAGCCTTGT